TAAATTCTAAGCTTACGGAAGCTATATAATTCATTCGGCCATCGTATCTTTGGAAGAAACTCCTCCCATTCCTTGGTCGCTTGCTTCAGTATGTAAAACCAGCTTACAATCCTTGCCAAACATTGAGCGATGCCACTTCTTGTTAATCATTTCACTAAACTTGTCTTTTTCTTCAACAGCCTGCTCAAGGGTTCCATAAATGCAGAGCTGTTAAGTATACGGTTCTTTAAAATTTGAAGTTTGAGTAAAACTCATCATTTCTTCTATGTACTAAGGTTTTAACATGCGTTCTAGTTCAATCGGGCCTCTAGCAAACTAATTCCTTTCCCAACCCCCCACTTAATTAAACTTTTATCAAGGCAACACTTTTCGAGTCAGAGTTTAACGTTATTAATTTTATACTGTCGTTAGATAGCATAATCTTCAAAGTGTTCTTTTTTAAATTCACTTGCCACTAGCCATTCACTCTTCTGGCATTATCAACGCAAAGTGTTTTCTAATCTCTGTGTATTTCCCTATGAATTAAAACAATGAGTGTTTCTGTTAATCATATCTTATTGAGCACTTGCAGTGCATCGCCCATCCTTGCAAAATTTCTTAAGTTCTTGGTGCACTTTTTCCCAAGTTATTTTTTCAAGTATCATTTCTCCACTAAGGGTTAAATATGGCTTCCTTCTATAATTGTAGTCTCTTCAAGTAGTCCTGCTTTTAATAACTTTTCACATTCCTTCACTATATTAAAATCTTGTTCCTGTCTTTAATCTCATACTTGGACTAACATGGTAAAAATGTTTACTTTAACTTTATAAGGCTATATTAACAAGAATCCCAAGCTATTTTTAGCCAAATTCTTTACATCTATTGCCCACTCCAGGACAGAGCAAAGAAACGGCACCCCTTTAAATTGAAAAACCTTACTTATGCTTCAATAAAATTTGGCACCACCTTAAACAAATTATTTAGAAAACACAGCCTCCCCTTTGCCGCTCTAGGCCACATCTTCCTTCTCTATTACGTTTACAAGACAATACGTTAACTTTTCAGTATAATTTAGGCCTCATTAAGATCCACTTCTTCTGGTAACACACAAATCACTATCTTTAATTTATCTATAACGACCCATAAAGCCGGAACTTAGTTGTAATAGTTCCCACGAACACTCAGTTACCTCCATCAAATACCTGAAAAACATTCTTTTGATATATTACAAATGTAACTAGCTTATTTCCCACCAGCAAAGTCTTACAGATAAAAAAAAAACTAGACCTTGATCCAGATTATAAAAACGCCATTCAATTCCTTCCCTCCACCTTCCTTCTACAACTTTATTCTTTGAATGGTCCTTTACTTACTGTACAGCTCCAACATAGTTCACTACAACTAATACTAACTGTTAATATTGCCATTACTATTCCTACAAATACCTTTACTACAATTATTCTATAATTATTTTTTTATCGACAATACAATTCTAGCAATAACTATGTAATTACCCTTATTTATTCTATTTTACTAAACATAATTTCCCTCTAATTGCGCTATAACACCCTTTGCACGCGGTTAAACCCTTTTTACTATTACTTCTCTATTTCCTCGAAAATTAAATTGATCGTTTAAAGAAGTTCGCTTATTACAAAAATTCATCTTATTTCTTTCAACCTAAAAGCTTCCATTCAAGTAGAGAAAACACACCAACCTACTCTGAACAACAGACATGGTCCCCTTTTTTCTCTCCACTGCTCAAAAGATCTTGGTGGGAAGTCCAACAACCTCACCGCCTCCATATATTCTTCTATGTGAGTTTTTAATCTCTCCTCCTTTCGACTCACCATCGAAATTCTTCCCTTTTAAAACTTGCAGTTAGCGAACTAATTTTTACCTCATAAGATCCATTGATTCGACATCTTCGAACTGAACCTCAAATCCTCTTTTAAGGCCCAAATATCTCTACTAGCCTTTCCTGCATCTCTTGTTGCTTCTGATAAAATACTTTCAGTAGTTTATCCGTGATGACCAGAGCCGAAAAGTCTTTCTCCGGGCAAGCTTTACGACATGTCTAATTAGTTACTATGTACTCTGTTTCTATACAAGGCGGAGCTTGTAATTCAAATTTTATTTCTGGCTGCTTTCACATAAAACTTTCAATTCAACTATAGCAAGGAAAAAAGAAATAGGCAAGAGTAATACATTATCGAATTGCTTCACACCACAACCAAAAAACTTTTATGCTCGGACAAAGGCGTGGTCACAATATCGTGTATTAATTTTATATAGGCTGTTGTGTTTACCCTCAAAAGAGTATAAATTCAACCTTAGTGCTTTCTTCACACCCTCACCTTGAGGACCAAACTAAAAAGTCTGTTCCCGACTTTTAAGAAGGGCTTGCGTACATGAGCAAAATAAAAATATTTAATTTTAATTGCGCACGTTCCGGCAATTTATTACGTTCCCAGTACCCACCCTAACTGCAAAACCTGAAAAATATAAAGCACAACACGCGGACGGTGGTACGTGCTATGTTGCCTGACTAGTCGGGCATGAAGGGTTTTACGTTGAAGGACAGCGTTTAATGGGTCTAAATCGACTCCTGGTGGAAGGCCTCATTCCTCTGTCGCTATTGCCGTGGGGCCCTCCAAGCAGCAGATGCGAATCATTATTGGCTTAATGCAAAACACATAGAAATCGTCTATTCTTACTCAGCGAAGCTAGATCTTGTTCCATAGTATAGGGTAAAGCGCTTTAGTCGCGGCCTTAATTTTCACCACAACGAAGACCACGAATAACCACAACGACTATTTGTTGTCAATGAGGGCTCTACTGTATTTCATTATGGCACCACTGGATGTTCACGACATCAAAGTTTAAGTTCGCCCGCAAAGGGAAACGTTTTTTCATTGTTAAGAGAGCTTTGCTCTTTGTTCCATTTATATCGGCTTTCCATTTTCTGCACTAGTCTTTTAAGAAAATACTAACACATGCTCAAACAACTATACGCATAAATTAGCTATAAAAAATTATAACTTGAAGTAAACCAATGAAAATCTTTATATTTTTTTTTTAAGAAAACATTTGCAAGTTTTGCAGGCCATTTTAACAAATATATTTATATACAACTGTGGTAATTATGACTTTTAACCTGTCTTTTCAGTGGAATCAAACTAAGTTTGTTCATTTTAATGACCTAAAATTAAATCTATACGGATATGCATAAACGAAATAATATTTATAACCTACTTTAAAGGAATACAAATGACTTGATTACCTCAATTTAACCAACTACCATTTCTTTTTCTCATCTTCTCTGTAGTCGGTATTATTACGTTATAAGCACGATAGACTTTATATATACTTTAAATATGACTCTACAAGCGTATATTGGTCCAAAACTTTATTGTTAACAGTAAAATCACTTAAAATATGCCAAACGAAACATGTTAAAAACGCAACACGGTATACAGAGCTTAAACAACCGTGCACCGTTAAATTTCCCAATTTCAAGCCTAGTTATTACCAGCTCAGACGATATATAGTTCAAAAAATAATATATTAACACACAGGACTCCCTTAATATCAAGTCATCTATAACCCTTCAGATGATAGTATGTTATACGCATACACTAACACGGACAATACGCATGGAAAGGAACTGTATATGATCATACATAAAATACTCCACCTGCAGTTTTAACTAACAGCTCTAAAGATACCAAAACTGCATATATAGAAAAGATTCGAACAGACAAAGGAAGTGAATATATTTACGAGGAATATAAAAACAGAATTATGAAAACTGTAGTGTTGTCTCCTAGCTCAGTTCTCAAGGACGCACCCCAATGTATGGTGAGTGAAAGAAGTACTCAAATATAACACGTTGCATAATTAAACATCTAAAATTCCGTTGGAATACTGAGTGAAGCCATACTTGATTATCTTTTTTTATTCAACAACCTTCCCATGAACATAATCGCCAAGCGAAGTTTACGGCTTAAATATCGGAAACCCGATGCATATAAGCCTCTAGACTACAAAATTTTAATATACAAACAATGGATATATAACGAAAGTCTGATGATCGAGAAATCGAGGGTGTATTCTCCCCTAACTATTACTTGATATTAAATTTCAAGCAAATTGAATTATTAGAAAAAGGGGCTTCACTTGCCACTGAAACAGTTTTTTAGCAACGCAGCCACCGTCCAGGATCATAGTAACTAAAGGAGCGACCTTATATAAGCATATGAATTCAGCGCACTGTAAAGATTGCGAGGGGTGTTAAAGGCGCGCAGCTTGTGCAGCAGACCTTTATGTCCAACTCGTTAAGGAAGACAGCACCTGTTGCCTTTCTAAAGTTAAAAACGCGAGTAGTCCATTCGGTGTTTAACCGGAACTCTAGCAGGGTTAGATGGCTCAGTAAAGCGACCTCGACCACTTTGCCAAGAGACTGATGAGTAGGTATTTGTTGGTCGCAGACTCCGATCTCGGTGTCTTCAGCAGCATTACAATAGTCGCCGTCTTCCATCCCGTTGAAAAAGGTTTATAAAGGCCATTACTGGATTACCTGGTGGACAGATAATGCATCGCTGCTAACGGCAGTTTCTTAAACGTTCCATTACTAATGCCCAGATGTTCGTTTGGATAGCGCTTGGGTAATCGCTTGAATCTCGTTTGCAACAACTAGCTCGAGTGGTCGTTAAATCGTTCATAGGCATTTAAGAGAGGAGGTAGCGTATTTTGGTAAGCGATATGACTAGCGAAGGCGTAGCATAGTTTATATCACTCTTGGCCTCAATATAGCCATAGCCAGGAGGCGGTAGTGGTGCATGACGGCTATTTTGACCCGTTTAACAAGAATGGCCGCATTCGCCTGCTCATCTTGGTCTCCCATTTATAGTTAAAATATGTTATCGCCTCCTTTCAAATGCATCAGTGTCTTCAATTTAGCACTGGCTTGTCTTCGGCGCTCTGAGATGGCCACTAGGATAAGACGTCGCCTTTGGCAGATAAGTGCTTTCAGTTTATCAAACAGGCGTTTAAGGCGGTTACTTCACGTGTGTCGTGGCGGATAGTCTTAAAAACAAAAGATTAAGACAATTTCTTGAACATTGTACTTTAATTCGCCATTTTTATGCACTTCTACTACCTTTCCCAGTCCTCTACAATTTTCACCCCTTGTTTAACTCTCGGGTACTCAATGTAGGCGTCTATCAGAAGGAAAATATTGATACGGTATCCGCAGTTTCGTGTTCTGAAGTCAAAGAAAGTCAGGCACGTAGAATAAGAATGGTAAAGGGGGTAGAGTTGTGTCTTGGAGCGAACTTAGACTCAAGTGGAAAGTTTAAAGAAACAGAAATCCATATCGAGATCGACAGTTGTCGTCATAGCTCAGCGGTTAAGAGCATGAAGCGCAATTTGATCTTCCCTCATAAATTTGATACGTTATAAGCACGCGCTGCATAACTTAGCAATTTAGAACAAAATCAAGTTTACTCGAAGGCTTTGCTCTGCATATAATTAAAAACAAGTTCAAAAAGGCAACGCCAATTAAGGTACGCGTAAACGGTATCATTGATAGCCACTACATCCTAGCTAGAAACACTAATACATGACCCATTAAAACACTATGGTAAGAACATAGACTCCTGAGCTCATGTCTAAGGAAGGACCAAAACATTCTTAGTCGGTATTTCGTTAAAAGTGGTTTTATATGTAATATTGTCCTTTGAATAATATCAAAGTCCTCTTTCTATGCCGCTACTACAGAGATGCAATGAAAGATGCAGAGAACTAAAAGTCTTAGACGCCAATTTCGTATGGGCTTGGCTGTTACATGCAAAAATACGAGAAGTAGTCTGGGAACATAGAGCAATTCACTTTCCACTTAAGAGCGTACAATTACTGTAAGATAGTTAAAAAGAGTTTCAGCTCTCAGCAGTAAAGGCACTAACAGTAAACCTAGTCTACACATTTGTTTTAGAGGATCTTTAAAGTTAGCCTAAGCTCACATCGCTTTAGTAAAGCACAATGTAAGCGACCAGAATTCGTACATAAAAGAGCACACACAGGCACCTGTCTCTACACTAGCGTTTATAGCACGTATGTCCCCTTACACTGCTTTTGTGCAGTGTTTGCTTATTAATCTGTTAAGGTTAAAAGAAATTGTACGCTCTGTAGTACGTTAAGCCATTTTACCAACAACACTGGGCATTTGCTATAGTTATACCTTCGAAAAGGGATTTGACTTTTGTTTCACGAGATTACACAAATAGAGGAAATTAACTAATTCCACGCTAATTTTAACGCGATGTAGGTATTGCGCTTCCAAACTCATTTAACTCCCTATAAGTTACTGATTAACCAGGTTTACCATTTGTCGCCTAGATTCAATTTGCAAGAGTAGACTCATAGAAGTTGACCCTAAACGACAGGCTTGGTCTCTGAAACAATCTCTGGCAAGTATGAGTACCATGCTTCATCGGATCAGGTTCTGTTCGATAAAGGTTTAATAACCACGCGCAACTTTGTATCTACCTGCGTCCATGAGTTTCTGCTTCGAACACCGAAAGGTAGACTTCCGCTTCCTGTAAAGATCCCTTAAAGACAACGGTGTTGATTAAGTGCCCAGCCTGCATTCTAGGGTTATTCTCTTGTCTAACAATCGTAGAAAATTATTGAGTAAAAAAAGACTGCTTTGGGCACCTAGGTTACTATCGTAAAACGATTAGAAATGATAGGGTTTATATGCAGTACGCGCCTACCTTTGGTGCCTTCCCCAACCTCGATCTCTCCGTTTCTACAGGGGACTTAGTTTGTTCAAGTCATTTACAATTCTTAGTCTTCATTGGTAGATCCCGTTGGGCTACGACTAGTATTCGATTATAAGTTAAAACAAGTTATAACAATAAAATCTACGAATTATGAATTTAGTAACCTTTCTTTGTTAAGCTCTTCGTTAAGAGTGAGCATGTATTAAGGATAATTCTCGGTGCCTGAGCACGGTTTGAAAGAAATGCTCCTTAATTAAATAAAATCTTCATGGTAGCTGTAATCCATAGGTTAGTGCTAGCTTTTCTACGTTCTGGCTGTGATATAATGAAGAGCATTATGTTACTGGGCAAAGTCAATCGTACTTAATAAAATAGATTATTTTAGTTATGGTTCCTTGCTTGCTGCGGCTTACGCGTTTTATATCGGTCGCAACTACTTCTTCTTAGACAGCCATTATGTAGTTCATCTTAACTAACATCAATAGGTTATTTCGGTTAAGTTCATGCAATAAGCCAAATTTCCATGCTAGTAGCAAAGAAGACGCACGCAAAGGTTGGGATTTTTAGAGGCCAATGCATGCAATTTCGAACCAACTGCACGAACAGAATGCAAGTGCAAGTATTGACTTGTGCTTAAAAAATATTAAACTTTGTCTGTAATTCTTTCCCATTTAACAGCTAGGGAACTTAATAATTTTATTAACAACTTATTTAAGGTAACCTGATCTTTACGATTCTAACTATTTATTATATATTTAAACATCCGGTTTTAACCATCAATTAAATAGTTTCATTATACAGAAAGATCCTTAAGGTAGAATTTTCAGAGCTTTGTTCTTAATGCCATAGTGATCCATTGATATTAGATTTATTTAAGGGCGCCTAAAAATTTGTAATTGAAATATCGCTTTAATAATAAACAGATTTCATTTTTGGGATTTTATGTATTATAAAAGTACACTTTCTTTGGGCTTTAAAAAAATCACATGTACTTGATTGCGTTGCAGGAAAAAATGGATAATACACTACCGTGCCAATTATAAATATTGATTAGTATAAACATGACTTTATTAGTAAAATAAAGAAGCTTTTTAGGCTACCAATCAACATACAAATTTTAAGTCAATGACTATAACAGGTGCTCGATATTTTAAAAAGCAAACTGGCGAAAGTACACTCTGACCAAAAGCACCTCAATTCTCCAGGGTCATGGTTTAGAACTGTGGTGGGTGACCAGAGGTTAACCGCGGACTGTACTCCCCCCCCTAGAATAGGAACATACATGTTACTCCTCCCGGAGCTGGGGCCTACTTTCGCCCGAATCAAGTCTAAGTGCCCGTAATCTGCGCTCGACTTACCATGCACAAAAAATCATTAAAAAAAAACGCAAACTGCTTTGTCGAGCACGGGGCTAAAGTCACCACTATCAAGTGTACCCGAAATACGGAGGGAAGGCTGTCTGGAATAAGTTCCTGCCACTTGGCCCAAAGTTGTGAAGACTGCTAGTTCCTAGCCTCCCGAAGTAGAGTTACCTTAAAATTAAAAAAATAGACAACGTTGTCGCGCAATAACTTATAGTTACTCTTTTTAGAAGTTAACCGTAAGTTATACACAAAAATAAAGTTAAGCAATAGTTAGTCGAAATCATTACATTTAAAAAAATCCATGCTGTATCTTCAGAGCAGCTTTAATGTAGTAAAAAACTTAGCTTCAATGTTTCTACCAAATTTAAAACTCACGATCTGGAGGGAATAGGAAATTAAGTTATAATAACTTTAAAAATTTAAAGAGTTAGCCAAATAATAAATTATCGCCGAAAAAAATATTTAAGAGATTAATGCTTATATAATTTAAAAAACATGTGTAATATATATTACTGCTTTTAATCTGAAAGTTTGAATTTACATAATTTTTTTGGTTAAAGCTTTTTTTTCCATATAAAGTAAACAGAAATTATATCTGTTATCCATTAAAATAGTAGGAACGTATATACGATTGGTAAACTATAAACCCATTTATATGCAGCGAGTATGATGGTAGGTTTTTGTACGAACCTTTATTTTGATCTACCCTAAAAAATAAAATAAAAAGCCTGTTTTAGCTAACAGTTTACAAGACGCTTATATACGTTTGTACCATATAAGGGTTATTTATAACATAATCATTGTTGCAATGCTTTTACTCCAAAGTTTACACTCACACGTAATAACTGGAAACGTCATTAATCTAATTTTCTGTACTTTATTAGTAAACCACACTAAAGATTGATGACGGATGTAGTTTATATATATTAATTATCGTTTAACAAATTTTTACGCCTCTTCTCCAGAAAAAAATTCTTTTCTGATTAAGACGTTTTAAGGATATAAGATAGAAGTATTTTGCGTATTATGAGACTAGAAAGGGCGCATATAAATTCACGATAAATGCTAGCGTAAAATTCCATTTTTTATTAAAAAACCTAAAGAACTTATAACGAGGGAGCTGAAATATTCATGTAGATGAAAACATAATTATAGACATAGTTTAAGGCTTCCATAACATATCGTATATGAATTTTTAACAAATTCTTGCATATACTGGACTTTTTTTTTGCTTAACTAACAAATTTTTATATTCGCATTGCCCTCCTGAAAATATTTAAGAAGTTTAAGTTAAAAAGGAGGAAGATACTTGGTTTAAGTAACATACTCTTACAGCAGAGGTTAAAAAAAAATTTTTTAATCATACAGATAAATTAATAACTTAGTAGCTTGTAAAAAGTTGGGTTTAAAATTACGTTTTTAAACCAAGTTCTTAAACTGTAACTGATTTAAGTGGAAACAGCACGAAAAAAAACTAAGAGGAATTCTTATAAAATGAAATTTAAATAACGAAAATTACAAATGGGTGTCAAACCTTACTTTTCAAAGTAAAAAGAATGGAAAATTGCACTTTAAAGTATGCAATTATATATTTTCATTGTGAAATGGTTTAGTTTCATTCCTTTAGGCAACGTGACGACGTAAAATCTATATTTTGCCCAATCTAGTAATATAACAAGATTTCGCATTTTTTATTTCCAATAGAAGATCGGTTAAAAATCCATATCAATGTTTATGACCTACTTTTCCAAGTTGTGCTCCACGCTGACACGTCATACGTAATTAAGAGCCTATCCCAGCTTTAAAACTTCCTATTTACCAAATTAGTATATCAGGGGCTTACTTTTGTTTTAAATGCATTACTGCTAATACGAGCCAAACATCTTTTATAACGTATTAGAAGCTTCATCCTATTGTATTTGACCTGCTGGGGAGGAAGTTGTAGTTGCATACACCGCTGAGATTGTAAGAGCTTGGCAGTTAGTACTTTTGGTTAAAAGTTTAGAAAATGTCCGAAGTTCATAAAATTATAATGGTTGGTTCTGGTGGCGTAGGAAAGTCGGCTATAACTTTACAATTTATGTATGCGGAATTCGTTAAAGACTATGAGCCCACTAAAGCCGATAGTTACAGAAAGACAAACTTCGATTTAGATGGTAATTTCTATTTTTCGTTTTTTTTTATAAGGTTTTTTGACTTCATCTATATGCTACGCACCTATTTATATTGTTAATAGTTTTTTGTGTTAGTCAATAATACAATCATTAAACACGCTCATTATTAGGAGCTGAAATCGGAATAGATATTCTTGACACTGCAGGACAGGAAGACTACGCTGCTATTCGTGACAACTATTACCGCTCTGGCGATGGTTTTTTTTGCGTTTTCTCTTTACTAGAAAAAATGGTAATTTTCAATTATAATATTTCTCTAGTATAGCCTTGAAAGCATTAACTACCCATTTTTAACTTTTATTATCTTTATTTATTAAAATAATTAGACCTTTCAGGAAACTGATAATTTTCGGGATCAGATCTTAAGGGTTCATGAAGACGAGAGTGTTCCCTTTATACTCGTTGGAAACAAGTGTGATTTAACTGAAGAGCGCGTGGTTTCCAAGGCGGATGCTGAGAGTAAGGCGAAGAGCTGGAACGTGCCGTACTTGGAAACCTCTGCGAAGACTAAGCAAAATGTGGATGAGGCATACAAAGCTCTTCTGCGGCTCATTATTGCCAAGAAAAACAAAGAAAAAGCAGCCCAGAAAACTAAGAAACGTAAAAAGAAGTGCTTATTATTGTAACGTTTCCTCTTAATTTTATGTTCGCCTATTAACTATAAAGTAAACTGTGCAGTTTCCTCTAGAAATAAAAAATACTTGACACTACCGCATTTATTATGGCTTTTAAGTAGATATAAACACCTTTTCAAAACAGTATAGTGCGCTTTTGGTTCGTGAAATACCCATTGAGTTTCTAAGTGATTTTATAGAGAGCTACTAAACTCATCGCTGCGTAATCCGCCTATGTATTTTATTGTTGAGCGGTATTATTTTTTTATAATAATTTCTTCCTATTTAAAATCTTACAACATCCAGCGTGGACTTAAAATAAATAATTTGACAAGCGTGTGTAAGTTTTTTTATATGTGCATTTTTTTTTTTAAACTAAAATTAGATCTGACTTTAGCCAAAATTTAAATAACTTTAAGGGAACAGATTATTATACTTTTATATAAGAATATAGTGAAAAAGAAAAAAAAACAGATACGAATTATTTATTTTCACGGGTCAACTTTGCGAGTCTCTCGTTGAAGGAATAAAAATTATTTATAATTACTTCCATATTATTTTTCATTTTTTGTTGCAGCTGTTTTATAAAAAAACGAGTTAAAAGCACGTTGCCAACTTTTTTTTATTAACAAATAAAAAATTAAATACTAAAAATAGATAAAAAACTAAAATATGTAGAGAGAACTTAAATCTTTATACTAATTTATAAATGAACATTCTTATTAAAAAACAGATGTGAGAACTCATGAAGATCATGACAACTATTTAATTGTTTAATTTCCTTAATTCTTCAATTAACGCTTTTGCAAATAATTTTTAAAATTAAAAAGATGCTAAAAAGTAAATTATTATAATTACGGATTAATAAATAAAATACAAAGCAAGTAATAGTATAGAAAGTAAAAATTGCTGCTTGCTAACTGATGTAAATTTAAATTATTTTAATGGAAGCTGACTACAATTATAAAAGCTTCTCACGCACAAAAAACTACAAAAGATCTAAAAAAACATTTATAAAAATAAGTTTGAATAGCCAGTAAATCTGATAGTATTAAAAACTTCTTTGCAAGGAATTAATTATAAGTTTGAAATCATTAAGATAAATAGTTTTAAATATAAACGCTTATACATTTCTGCATCTACAGGACTATAATAGATTTCATAAACATAATATGTAAAATTATAATTTTAAAATTTAAAATCTTTATACTTCAGTAAAAGCAGCTTGCTGAGTGCTCAGAAGATTTTCACAATTCTCCTGCCGGTTTTGCAAAGTTAGAAGAGTGTTAATACTTTCAACAGCTGTTTCGTGTACATTTCTCAAAACCTTAAAGTTTTATTTTTTTTATAAAGGCGATTTAAAAAAAATTATTATAACAGAAATTAATATAAAATCCGAATAAAAATTATAACAAACTTTTATGTTACCACTCCACTTGAGCAAACTCTATACGAGTTTGTACAAGTTAAATCACAAATTGAAACCTATATAAACAAATTTAGTATTTCTACAGAAAAAAATTAATTTAGTAATAGACTTAAATATATTAAAACTCGCGCTTTCTTTAAGTAAAACATATATAATTTAAAATAAATTTATAATGAACCGGGATTTTAGAGCAAATAATATGAAGTAAATTATACTTTTTAAAATTAGTTAAATTAAAATTAAAAAATACAAATTGTAAAGAAAAATATAACAAAAAATTATTCAATAAACATTTTATGCAATAAATTTTAGAATATTTTAAAGAAAATCATTTTAACCGAATAGCAATTCTATAGAAGTGTAAGAAATTAAATCTTGTAGTTTAACTATTCTAAAATAATTCTGAACTCAGTAAATTTTTCAAATAAAAAATAAATAAAAAGGTCTTTTTTTATAATATATATAGTAAACAGGAACTCTGAAAAATATAAATGGTTTTCAATAACTCGTTAGTATTTGAAGAAATCTCTATTATATAGAACTCAGTAATAATTAACCATAATATATAATTATATAAATTAAAATTTATAAATGCGAAGAATATTAGAGTAATTTTTAAATATCAATAGTCATTATTATTTATACTAAAAGAGTTTAATAAAAGAGTTGTACTTTTAGTCTTTGGATGACGTCAGGAAGGAGCGCCAACGAAGACATGGTGTGGGTCAGCGACGCGTACAACTCCTCAATTTCCTCGTGGAAAAGCAGTAGAAATTGAAATATAAAATAGATGGATTATAAAATGCAGAGAATACAAGATTCGTACTTTTTCTGAAGCGGGAGTGCGCTCTGCATTCTTAAAAGAAGAAATGTTTTTGATCTAAATGAAAATAAATTTGCTTGCAGGTGCGAAAGGGGGATGAAAGTAAACTTATTTAAATTTATTAATAAATTAAAAATACAGTGATTTATAAAATTAAAAAATCTATTTTTCGTTAGCCTAAAAAAATTTAAATGGGTGCAAGCATAGTATCACTTGCCAGTAAAAGAAAATCCAAAACCCAAACTGATTGGCTTATTATTATTTACGTTTTTCAAGGCTTCCAGGGTCTCGCTGGAGAGGCCAAGAAAACTCAGGCGCTCGGCGATGCCAGTCAAAACAGAAAACAAGTTGTGATCTTTTCCCTTCAAGCCCAAAAGAATGGAAATTTTTCCCTAAAGAAAAAAAGTTTATCAGGAATCACAGATCTGGCGCTTTTTTTAAGCTGAAAAGATGCATATGGTAGTATGGATGTGGTAAGTTAAAAAAGTTATAACACTGATGTGCGGGCTCAAAGTGGATAGATTTGTATACAATACCATGACTGCCCCCAGGTTCGCACCAGCCACTTTTTCCAGAGCCGATATGCGCTCTTCAAAAGAAGAGAGCTATGCAAATTCAGTAGCAAAAGTTAAGATTAAGATTTTATAATCTCTAAAACTTAACAAACTCCTCTTACTTGCGAAAACTGTTGACATTTTGCCAGCTCCGGCCTATAATAAAGTTTATACGTAATAACATCTCCGCTGGTCTCCGGTGATTCGCAATCTGGCGCATCAGACGACCGAGCTTGGAACTTTGTGACGCAGTCGTTCAGCGTAGCGGCAATCTACGCGTTTATAAAAAATAAAATGAGGTACGCCAAAAAAGACTAAGAGCAATCCTTTACACTAATATTATTAAAATAACAATAAAAAATTATAACAAAATATTGCTAAACTCAAGTTAAGGCAGCTTCCTTATGGGATTTACTTAACTAATTATTAATGATAAAAAGTAGACTTATTAAAGATGCTTTGTCAATATTTAATTGCTAAAAACTTAAAAAAAATATTTAAAAAAAAATGTAAAAAGGTTGATTACTCAAATTATTTATATTAATAATTTACTTATATTTTAAAGCAATAAGTATATAAATTGAAGAAATAAATACACTGAACATAACATCGATCTCACTTATGTCAGGTACTTCGAAAAATAATACTTTTGTAATAATAAATAAATAGTGTGTACTTTATCATTCCCAAGATTATAAAAAACAGAAAATATGTAAAAGTGATGTACATAAACAGTTTCAAAATTTAATCCAAAAAAATTTGAATTCAAAAATTGTGCAATTTATTAAGCTTTATCATATATACTACGGTGCAATGAATATATAAAAAAATTTAAAGAAATGTTTACCGAAGATAATGGATCCGTAGATCCTTTCTCATCCAGCAATGGTAAACATTCTAACTCTCTTTGTAGTAAGAAAATCTAAAAGTTACAACAATAAATAATATAGAAAACATAAAAAATCAAATTAATTAAAATGCAGTAATAAAAAAAAGGCTGAACTAAACAGACTAACTAGTCAACGCCATAAAGGTCACACTGTTTTTCTATAGAGAAACTCCACACCACTGAGGTCAAAAGCGAATTGATAAGAGGGCTTTAGAGTAGTGAATTACAGATGTACTCGAAGTTCACAGTTTTTTATCCTTATTTTAGTTTTTATAGAGCTCTGTACAACCTAATTTTATTGAACATTTCGAAATCCCTTGCTTAGTTGCCTTTACTAATATTTCGCATCTCTGAATTAGTAGTGCTCCTGTATATCCTGCTTAGCAAAGCCGACTTTACGAACTTCAACTAAGATTTCAAGATAAACTTGCTAATAGCAAAGAAAAATTAAGCTACTGAGTGACAAATAAAATCTAAACAAGATTTACTTACAACTAACTAAAGTGACAAATAATGTAAATCTACAAAGTGCAAGTACAACTTGACAAAAGCTTTTCAATTTTTATTTTTTTGCACGGCAGCACGTTGCATGACACTATAACTTTCTACTATATTCTTTTTAAGCGAGTGAGCAATTGATAAAAATGTATGGACACTTTAAAAAGATAATTATTTAGTTTAACTTAATTATTTATAGAAGAGTAAAATAAAGTTAAACTTATTTATTCTTGAAATTAAAAACATAAATTTAGATTATTTATAATATATAAATGTTATTTATAGATAAAACAGTTGTAAATAAAACGCATTTTCATTATTTGACTTTCATAAAAAGGTTACTTCAGATACCAACGCTTGAAATTTCGAAAAAAAAAGCAAATTAATATCACTATAATAAAGAAAAGTGACGACAAAATAATACTCAGCATATACAGCACTAAAACGAATCTCTTTTATAAAAAGACTAGTGTGAACATCTTGCCTGATCTAAAAAAGAAGCGGGATCAACATCCAAAGTTTCTCGTTCGTAATCACCATTAGTAAGCTCTTGTTTTAATTGCATAACTTCAGCTTTTAAACGATTAAACTTTTGAATAAGTGTTTCCTTTTCGCCCTGAGGTGCCTAGATATATATGCAGATTTATAAGAAAGAATTTAAAATTTATAAAAGATTATATTAACTAGTTCATAATAATAAGCAAGGCCTCTTCTCTCTTTTACTACCACCGCAGATGTGTCACTAAAATCTTTTGTAATATGTAGTTACTATGATAAAAATAAACTAGGACAGTTAGTAAAATAGGTGAAAAATAATAGTATATATTTTTATAAGTACTAGAGTCAGCAATAAATTTTCCTGAGAAAGCATCAAAGGCTGATCGATAGTCTAATTTCTTTGTTATAACATTTTCATGGTCTGCATCCTTTAGAGAGAATGCAGTATAATAGTTTAATTCAAAAAAAGGTTAATAAGTGAATATTGACTAAAATTTATAAATATTATTTATAAACTTTTTTAATTAGCGCTTCGGGTTCTTCAACAGGAATGCCTGCATACTCATAGCATTCAGGCTCACATCTCGGCATGACCGAAAATAACCAAAACTAAAATTAATACTGAAAGGTAATTAAGAGTTAGTACCGAGTATGCAGTTCGTACTGATATATTTCGGGTCAGCCCGGAGGCTGTGTTAGAATTTATGAGGGTGAGGTTAAATACGCGACTATCATAAGCCGAAAAAGAGAGTCGCGTCGGAGGGAGTCGAACCCTCAACCTTAAGTATGCCGCTGAGCTACGACGACAACTCTCCGACCCAGTGTGACGGTTTTACTTATTTAACTTGTTACTCTGTGGGTTAAGCCTCTTTCAGAAAGGTCTCTTACGGTACTATAACCCCTCTCCTACGCCATTAAAGAAATTCAGTACGGCGAATTTTACAATGTACAAAATTTTGTGCTTAACTTTAATGCTCTTTTTATTCCTTATTAACACTTGTAGAGTAAATCTCTATTTCTCGTCATATAATTTGAAAGGGAATGCTAAATGTCTATATTGTAATTACTGAGAAGGCAATTTTTCCCTGTTCTCGAGTGAGTGAGTAGACTCACTATTCCAGGCTCTTAAGCGAATCAGTAAAATAAAAAAGTAATCCACTGAAAGTATTTTAGTTTCTTCTTTTCTTTCTACCTTACTATATTTAGGTTTATATATAACAAAATGCTTTACCTTGCTGTATCTTTAAATTTTAATGATGCCTATTAGCCTTATAAACTTTGTTTTGTTTTATTATTTACTAATAGCGACTCTTAAGAGAAAACATTAAAGTACTAAAAAGGTCAACAATGCTTGAATATTATTCGTTGGTGCACCCTAGAAAATGCCCTGTGGACTAGAAGTTTTTCTTAGAACTTAATATAGTGAGCGTTGGTAAAAGATGTTTTACCGTTAGCCTTAGTGGTATGTATTTACCGATGAGCTAGGCGAGGCTAACGATAAATGCGACTCCCCTTTATACTTCCCCCTTTTCTATAACCAAAAAAGGTAATTAACTCTATGAAGCTTTCGAGAATTATACCGACTACAAAAAGAAGCAGTAAATTGTGTTTTATTACTTAAAAGAAGAAAAGACATATAAGAGTTGATTAAGACATTAAAAAATAAAAATAAGACTGATATTAGAAGAAAGGAAAAATTCGCTTTGGTGCCTAGTAAGAGTTAAATGAGATAGATACTTACCTTAAATGGAAGCAAAAATTTTATTAACACACTTCCTAAGTATATTTAATGACATTCATATATTTCTTTATGTTTTATATACGAATCATGACCTCATATACAATAATATATCTCACAAACGACCTTTAATTCATTTTTTATCGTGATTTTCGCGGTGGCCTTCTGTTAGAATACTTCTAAATTATCGGTGAGTAGGTTAACAGAAAAAACGTAAATAGTTGTGCTGCGCCATCCACATATACAGTTGACGTAGTCACTATTAGTAGCTTAACCTGAAACCACATGAGGTAAGCCCTAATATACAGCTGGCATAAGCAGTGATATAACGAAAGCATTAACACTGGATAACACTGCACATGAGCTTATATATTATATTTAAAATAAGCTTTAGAAAAATTCACTTAATGAAAGATTAAAGCAACTAAAGCTTAGAAACAGCTTGACATAAATTTTCGCACATTTACGTGAATAACGCTTTAGCGATAGAACATTGTATTTTAATCTGCTTCTTGTCGTGGCGGAGGAAATTCTATAGAAGAATATAACGCACAAAAAAAATCAGTACTTCATATAATAACTAGGAGAAAAATTTTCAGGAGTGCGCTCAAGGTGGCCTTTTGCACGATTTTTAAACTTCGTCATTTTTTATCTTCTGTCTACTTCCAATGAGATGGATGTATAACTTTTGCGTTACCCATGTCAAAGTTATGATTCGCCCAGCAGGTAACTATGGCCATCATTGTAGCATTTTAAGCATAGCATAACCTTTTAATTTATGGTTACTGTACCTAGCCCGATTTTAAAAATCTTAAATGATATATAATAGTATACAGGTAAACAACACTATTTAGCTCCTCGTCCATTTCCCCGATAAGCTAGACCAATCGAACAAAGAACCAACACTAGCACGATTCAAGTTCGCTTAATTAGTTAGTTTAAAGGTAAAGTATTTGTTTTATGTTAAAAAGTTACTTACAACCTCGAGGTAGTCAAGTATACACTGCATGGAAGCGAGGATTGCTTTTTGTCCCTAGGTTAATGTCGTAAAGTTAGCTAGTTGGACACTGGCTAACAGATGGAATAGTGCTGTTATGGAACTGTTTGATCGGATTTGGTTCAGAACGACCTAGTATTAGTTACTATATTTCCTCTTTCTTGCCCTCTAATGAAAAGAAGTAGTGAAATCTTAAAGCAACTAATAAACTTTGATAGAGATTCCTGTAGGCTAGATCGGCCACATATATATATATATTCTGGTAAATTACATCATTTAGTTCCTCTTCGAACCATACAGTTAGTTAGACCAATCGAATGACCAGGAACCTAATAGTCACTTAAAACCGTGATTTTTACTTGGGTAACGTAAGTTACGTCATTTCTAAATGATTGAACAGCAATAGCCAGAAACTCCTCGGCAGGGGTGTAATAATTTTATAAAAAACAAAAAACTCAATTGTTTAATTGTAATGGGTGCACACAATTTACTTAGTTGGCGTAAAATGCAGCCATACGATTAACTGCTGTTAGAAATTTAAATATGAAGGTTTTCTCCTGGAACCCGATCGAGGTAACAACTCCGAATATTGTCACCAGTGTTATTCTAAACCCTTTACTTCAGTAATCTCACGATTCAACTGTAGTGCCTTATTTCTATATAATAAATAGAAGGTAGGACTAGAACTCTTTACTGATTACTTCGCACTACACCCAAAGATTTTAATATCTAAGTTATTTTATAAGGGTTACTGATTATTTTCAAAGATACAAAAGTGAGTGATGGACTCTTAAGATATTTTAAGTATAAATAAACGCCAAAAATCAAAAGAGTTTTTCTTATAATAATTATAAAACAAGATAGTTCTATATACATCTCCCTAAAATATTAATTTAGTTACTATATTATACCTTACTTTCAAAAAAAATGGCTTAACTGACTTTCCTTTTCTTAGTTAATACAATACTAACAACTGACGAAGCGAATTTTATAACGTGGTTATGAAGCTGCACGAAGTAAGTTGGTCCTGATAGAGGCACTAGTGACAACTGCTAATGTTAGAGTTTCTTTCAGCTATGGAAAAGGCACTTCTCTTTGGGTTGCATTCTAGCCAAAAATTTTTATAGTTATAATAAATTCTGTAACTTTTTATAGCTCGTTCCTGACTTCTCAATCAAGCTAGTAATAACTTTGTGAAGATTTTATTTTTTTTTACTTCTAAGAAAGTAATAGACTACTCAGAGAGTAAACGATTATCGGACTGAAATTGTAGTTTAGATATTTTTCCTTTATCATCGCTTTGATTGTGCCCACGACTTTTAGAAATTTTAAGCTTTCGTGCCTTCCTTTTACATTTTTTTATAATTGCATAAATTATTATTATTATAAGTAGTATAGCTATACAAATAGACAGCGTTATTAACACAGCTGCATAGATATATTCTTTGGGTACATAACCTTTTGGGATAGTACTGAACTTTTTTAAATCTATTATAAATATTACTTAGAACTAAAATATCTACCGAAAACATTAAATTTTACCTTTTGTAAAGTTGGTGGGGTTAACAGACGTATTTTCAAAGTTTTCTTTGTTTTTATAAATTATAACAGGCAGGTCTAAAACTTCTGTATAGGTGTAGTATTCGGTTTTAGGTAAACTAGCTTCTCGGGGAAAACAGTTACTCCAGCGGTCAAGTTTATATTTTACTTGCATTTTATAACTAGAAACTTCTGAACAAAGTGTAATCCGGTCCTTTTTTATGGAGTATTCGATAGCGAATATGGCTTTATCTTGATTATAAAAGCTTTGGTACTGTTTGCAATCATTGAACTCTAGACACTCTTCACTAACAGCAAAATCAAAAACTTCTGAAAATTGCCCGATGAGATCCACGCAATTTCTCAACCCTATAGCAAGGCCCAATCGGTGGGCCTCTCGTGCTAACCAAGTATTAAATCTTATTTGATGAAGTTTAAGTTCTCTTTGGCTGAAACCTTTAACACAATTATAGTAATAACAGTCTACATAATCTGCATCAATTCCTTGGCAGCCTTTTTCTTTCAAGGATTTCCATAAGGGTTTTATATAGCTAGTCACCTCATTAAACTTTGTAATGTCCAACCAGTTGCTTTCATTCCTAGCAGAGACGGGATTACCCATTAGGCCTTCTTGTAAAAGCCCCTGCTTTCCTAAGCCAGGGGGCAAACGGAGCAGGCCTGCTTCTACGTAGCAGAGGACGACATGCCCTTTGGACTTGAGATCGCTAATATAACCTTTTGATCGACTCATCCCATCTAGAATAGTTACTTTACTTCCTGAAGCACTCTCATTAAATAGATCACTAGACCAGGTTATGTTACTTCTAAGACGAACAATCCGATTTAATATATTATCTTCTTCACGTGTGCTGTCTAGGAGAAAATAAATTAAGTTTTTAACGCTTAAAATACTTAGCATTGAAAGGTAAGAAAACCTGCCACATCTGCATTTTCTTTTATATTACAGTTTTTTCCTGGAACTTTGGAATTATCAGGTTTCAAATAGTGCGTATCAGGTAAAGGAATACTAGCTGTTTTTTATAAAAGGCAATTAATATTTATTAAAAAAAGTTGTTATTATAAAATTTTTAATTACCATTAAAACAATTTTTATATTCACCGTTATTGCTAAACTTGGTAGCAATTTTTAGATTAATTGACTTATTGCAGATTTCCTCTTTCTCTTAAGAGTGTATAAGTAAAGAATTTTAAATTGTATACACGAGTAAGAATTTAAGTCACCTTCGGCATACTCAACTCCGAAAACTGCTTTATTAGCAGCAGTAAACTGTTCAAAAGGTTTACAATTCCCATTTGTGATACAAGCTTCAACTATAGCGAAGTCGTAATAAACATGAAGCTCATTAACTAACCTTCCACAATTTTTTAATCCTATGGCCATCCTATACATATAAAGAAACATAGATTTTTCTTTCGTTGGTAAGTGTTTTCACTATAAAAGTAATCAACGAAACGGGACGAATAAGAGAAAAACTCTTATTAGATTAACGAATAAAGTTACCTTAAGCGATGAGCTTCATTAGTTTGCCAGATATTATAAGCAATTTGATAAGGAAGAAGATCAGCCTCGTTTCTTTCTTAAAAAATTAGTGTAAAGTTGCTGCTATCTCCTAAATTTTATATTATACCGGCAACACATAAATTTTCATAGCAGTCTACTTTGTCTGCTTCGATGCCATCGCAACCTTAGAAGATGAAATTATGATATGTAACATACATTAAATAGTCTGTCGTACTATTTTACTTACCTTTCTCTTTAGACAAAGCCCATCTTTCTTTCATCAATTCTTTCAAGTCCTCTAACATAGTAATATCGAGCCAAAACTCATTTTGATTACCGCTCTTGAAACATAAAAAATATAATGGTTCTAATAAACAAAAAAAGTATAATTTTCCACATACCACATTCCCCCCCACAATTTTACTGTTTACATACTTATGATAGTCAGGATCCCATTTTTTTAAAGTTCCTGCAGAGAGCGAGCATATAACAATGTGACCAGCCTCCTTACAGAAGCATTTTATTCAATATTTTTTTTAAAAAATTAATTTTTAACTCACTGAAGACATAGTAATAGGAAACGTACTTTAAAACTTTTAATACTTTCTTCTGAAGTGTTAAAAGCATCCACTAGTACCATTTTCATTCCCATTGTAAAATCTTCTTTGTCTGCACCCCATGCATTATTTGCCCAACCCATCATTGTATGTAAGAGAACTTGGCTACTGTAAGCATAAAAAGGTAAGAATAAAAATATTAAAGTTAAATAAAATAAAGGTTTCAAGGTTATCATCATCATCTATCTAAGCAACTTCCAAGCTTAGCTTTTAAATTTCAAATTTGTAAGTTGTCATGTTTTGATCTAAGGATTGGAGGATCTATTCTAAAGATATGAAGTATTTCCTTTTTAATATTTCCAAAAGATACCCCACCCCCTCTTCCTTTTAATACGAAGTGTGCCTCAGAAAAAGGAGTTATTTACTAAAAAAATATAATCAGACCTTCTTTAGTGTTGAATTTAGAAAAAATTATCTAGTTTGCTCTTAAATAAATTTTATGGAAGCTTTAACCAAAATTATGTAAAATAAAGGTTTAAATGTTTAGTAGTCTAAGTTAAACATCTAATTAAAAGATAATGACTTACTTTTAATAAAATTCTTTCAGCTAAAAGATATCAATTCCTAAATTTAAATTCCCGTAAACTGCCATGTATATTTTGATTAAATATATTTTCATAAATGAAAGGACTCTTTCAGATGAAAGTTAATTCTTAGTAAGACCATATTTTTGCTAAAGCAAGAAAATACTTTAATTTTTGTTACCTTGCATAAACTGGAACGGCTTTACATTATTTTTCAACCGCATACAGTTCTGAAGGGAACCAAAACACATTTTTTACTGAGAGGATATATTTTTTAAAGTTGTGGATGGATTGTTCTCGTTAATTTTCTCAATTTAAAGGAAGAAGTAAATTTTGTAATACACAATTTTCTTAAAAGTTATTCAAAGTCATACAAGATTAAGTTTTCATTATAAGTACAGCTGAAATTATTGTTAACTTCAGGTAAAGCAGTTGGGCGCCTATAAATTACTGTGATGAGGAATTATTATTTACTCTAAGTATTTTATCTTCTTTTCAATATGAATATTAAAATTTTCAAGGTTTTTTGTAAACTGAAACCCTTTCGCATCCAAAAGTGAGGCCTAAATTGAAATTTTATAATATAAATTAAAAGCACTTTACGATAAAAATTCATTTTTTTAAGGAAAAAAAATTATCGTTGTAAGACTCTTTTTTTCTGTTTAAACAACTCCAAAGAAGTATATTTTAATTGTAGGTCTTAATATGTTTAATGAATATATTTAACACTTAATTAAGTACTGGAATTTGTTATACTACTTATTACATGTGTGTTGTGTAACTTTTTCAAAAATTTTAATTGCACCCGTTGCAGCTTGCTTTCGTTCTGTTACGATCATAAGACCGTGTTAAGTTATAAAGAAAGCGTCTAGATATAAAGTTTTTAATAACTAATAGAACAAATAGTAAATATATGAACAATAATGTGAAATATTAAATTAAGATACAACTTAGTTAAACCTATGCAAAGGGAGAAAACATGTTAGAGTGGAGGGGTTTTGAAGGGGTAAAGGATATAATTTAGATAACTCAGTGCCAGGCGCTTAGTTGCAAACAAGGTATCAGATATCGACTTAGGTATTTTGTATAATAAAACCTTAAGTAATTGTTTTACTGCGAGAAGCAAACATATTATTGTGTGGCTAAGTGCGAGCTAATTCATCGCAGCCTCCATCCCTCATACTAGTAGTTTTCAAGTTCACCCAAAGTACTGGTTTTTCAGTAAAGTTCTTTACATTTTATTAAATATAAGCTAAGTTATGTATCGTAAATAGAGTTATATAAAGTGTGCAGTGTAAGCTTCTTGAATTTGCTCCGGAAATAAAACGACTGGTCTTTGACGCTTGTTTTTATGTGAATAAAAAACTAGACAATAATTAAGGGGGAAACTACTTAATACTCTGGTGGCTATTGCCTTAACTTGACAAAATTATTATAAAGATATTGGGGGCTTTTTTTATTTATTTATAAAAATGACAGTTTACATAAGAGGTCACAAATCCTTAACTGCTTAATCTCTCTTCCCCTCGTATTGCAGGGTTGGTGGTCTTTTTAACCACTAAGAGAAAAAAAAATAAAAACAAAGAAAAGTCGCGGAGGGTATCCTATGAACAGTAAGACGATTTCCTTATCGGACCGTTCATTTTATACTGACTTGCGTTTTTAAATATTTCACAAGATTTTGACTACGTGTGTCGGCCATTTGTATTTAGTATACCAACTGGGATTGTACTTAGCACTTCAACCAGCAATTTATCGGTTTGGAAGCCTTTCCTTAAATAGCGCTCATAATTAAGGGGGACTACTAATTTAGTTATCCTTGTGACTTCATAGGGAAAAGCACCAATTACAGTACCGTTCTGCCTTGGAGTCTCGTTAGCGACTTGTTTTATTTGCTGAATCCTTTTAAAATAAAATAGGCTTTTCTTCCCATGGGAATTCATGACTTATAGACGTAGAATATTTCACATTGGGACTTATCGTAATACATATCAATCCGGTACTTAATAACACTAATATACTAAAAATTTATTTAACACTTTTACACTATATGCTTTCGAGTATTAATTTATAATAGTTTTTTTTTGGCTGTAGACTATGATAATTTGGTTTTACACAATCAATATAATGGGAGAGTGGATTTGAGCGAATTAGTAAAGTTACCTTAATTATGTCTAAATTTTCATATCTTCTACATAATAAATATAGTTCTGGAGTAGTATCTCCCGAAGAAGCATCCACAATTGAAGAATTTTTACAATCTGATAAGTTGGAAAGAAAAGTATATTTTGAAAAGGTAATATAGCATATTTTTTTTTTAGTGTATCCTCTTGTATTAACATTAAGCTGATATTGTATATTTTTATGTTTTTGCGGTGATAAGATTTTTTTTTGTGGTTATTTTTTTAAAAACTAACTGAAGTTTACTGAGGCTATAGCTAAAAACTAACCTTATACGCTAAAGTGCTTTGCTTTTCTATAATTTTATAACAAATGATAGAAAAGCTCTTGAAAACAATGTTTTTTTCGTACAATAGCTCTTTGAATATCTTATTAACTTTCATTGCTGTCGAATTACTTATACACAGTTTGTTTGTTATAAGTGCAGATTGATAATTTCAAGGAACTTCTGCTTCGCTTTTCTAAACACATTACTGAACAACCAAACTTACTAAGAACTGTGCTTTTGGTAGTTTCTGAAGCCCTTTACGGTTTGAGTATATTTCGTAAGATTATAGGACGCATTTTAAACTGTGACTGATTTAGTAGAAAGTAAAGAAAACTGTTTAGAAACTTTGCAGTTGTGTCCTTATCAAAAGTTTGTGGTATATTTAATAGTAAACTTCTCTTTTGATGCGTCTTTGGTGGCCGCTTCGTTGCGGGTTCTTCGCGGGATGGTGCAAATCGGTTCGTTGGAAAACTATTATAGCATTTAATTTTTATAGAAGTTCTTTATTTTTTGACGTTAATGATTGACTGGTATTAGGAATTGAACTAGAGCCCTCTTTGTGCCGAAAAGTATTTGTTTTGTTGACATCCAAACTTGATTTATATGAGGAAGCTTCAGTGGACGTACTCTTATGCTTTCCTTAGTTATTCGAACTTTACTATTTATTTTAATTTTTGCGCTTTTACAATTTTGCATCCAGTTTTGTGAATTTTTAAGTCAATTTTTTTCCTTATAACTTTAATAATAATAATAATAAATGCCTTGAGGATGTTCTGCTTTGCCTTATGACGCTACTCCAAGTAGATTCTTACAGAGTCTTGTTTTACAATTATTCTGGTTCAGTAGAAAGGTTTTCTTATATGTTCTTATACTTTTTAACAAAGTGGTGGTAAAATAAATTTGCCTTTATAGCCTTTTCGGTGTGCTGCTTACACGGACGAGCAACTTTCAGATTCAGTATCAAACTCTTTTTTGTCTTTGGGTGCTCACATTCAATAAACTAATCGCATCTTCGATTGTTCGGTTTGAGTTTCTGTTTTTATTATTATTAACTAATATTATTTGTTTTACATGAACCTAAAAAGACGGTATCCCATCATCCGCACAGTTACGCCCATCTTACTAAGAACGAGCAAAGAAAAAGTTGTGAGGATCTCTTTGTCCACGCTTTTGGTGCTTTTTTTGTAGTAGGAAACTCGTTCTTGTATACTAACTTAGTTCACTGACCGAAAGTTGATAAATTTTTTCTTGTTTTAGAACTTGTTGGTGGATCCTGAAACAAAAAAAGTCAACGGGGGGATTATGATAACAAATAACTTGAAGGCTTTACTTCAAAGTTTGAAGGTTTTTTTTTTCTATAACTGTCCTAGAAGGGGTGCTACGCTGATTTTTACTACAGGAAAAAAAATGGAAAGACACCGACATCCCGCGTTACTTGGAGGAGCTTCTCAACCATCTCGAAGATCTCGTGCGTGTTTGTTTCTTGCTTCTACCTTAGTAATATTCTAACAGACAAAAGGTTCAAGAGATGAGCTCTTGGGATTACTACTGTGCTGAAGTGAAAAGCGGTAGACCGCAGCCGTGTTGTGCGCAACTCTTATAAAGCTCTTCGTTTGAACTTCCAGGAGAGCTTTCCTGGAGCGCCGTTCATAAATCCGAAGAGTTCTGGCTCGAAAGCGCCGTAAACTTCAATAACAACGACTACGAGGTGGTTAGGTGCGCTCGCTTTCTGGCGTTAGTAAATAAAATTTGGAAGTTTTATGTCTGCTTTAGACGATTGCACCAACTTTTGGCTTCTTCCAATCCGACTGTCGTGGCTGTGGCTGCTCACGATCTGGGTCAGTACGCCCTGCACTGCTCTTGTGGGAAAAGGTTTTTTCTTCTTGCCTTTGATATTCGAGATTATCAACTTGTTTCTGGTCTAATAATAGCGTCATTGAAAAAATCGGTGGCAAGGAAACTATAATTACTCTATTGGAACACGAGCACCCGCTCGTCCGCCACGAAGCTCTCTTGGCCTTAAAAAAATTGATAGCCTTTAATTGGTTTCTAATTGTGTATTATATCTTAAGCCTTAAAGTAATTTTCTTTCTCTTAAGGCCAAGTCTCGATCCCGTACACGATTTCAAAAGATGACTCCGTGCCTACTATACACATTAAACTTATTACTGTTAGTTTTTACAAACGTTACTTGTAATTGGTTTCTTTCGTAATTCAAGCTGCGGGAAATTTCTTTGAGAAAAGTTTACCAAGCTAAGCTATTTAATAAAGCGCAAACAGTTGAAAACTCTCTACATCAGTAAGATTTTAACGGTCGGCAGTCATCTCTCTCAAGCTTACCTTACAATTGTTGATTTTCCTCTCACGCCAAAAGGTTTACACCCAACCTTTCAGGCCAGCAATTCATCTATTAAAATATTAGGTTTTTACGCAAATTACTTAGTTTGTTAGTAAGTTAAATAAATATTGGGCGAAAACTCATTAGACGGCCAGTAATATATGGAGTTCTTTTATCTAATACTGCTTATTTTCCCCGATTTAAAGAAATCTTACAGATGAACGCTAACGAGCTATACTATACATTTCCCCTTATAAATCTAAATGCTTGTGAATCATTTAAGAGGAAAGCTTTAAAGAAAACACAACCCCTCTTCGAGATTACATACGCTAAAAGAGGTGTAAGACCCTTTTTTGAACACTTTACGGCGTTTATCCAGCATTAATACCTTATAGTCACTATATATGCCGTTTTAACCCGGTCAAGATGCATAAAAGTGATTAGGTTCTTATTACCCTTAACAATCCTATATTATTTAAGCTTTCCTATTTTTTTTTAATATACATATTAAGCCTAAAATACCATTTTTTTAATTATACTTATTCTTATTTTTTCCTCTTACTCAACCCACAGTCTACATCGCTTAGATTAGCTAGAATGATAAGCTATAGAAAGTTTTTAAGCTAAAATCTGTCCTTTAAAGTTGTAAGGGAAAATAAGTAAAAAGGCTATTTTAACCTCTTTCAAACCTGAACTTTTTTCTATTGCCTGTTTAATTGCCTTTTCTGGTCTACTATCACTAGACGGAAGTACTTAACGAATTTCCGCCTTGGATAAGTGATTTTTAATTAAAAACTTATAAACCAATCGGATTTTTAACCGAAAACGCTATACAACCCTATTGACAACAAGAACCTTTCTGGAAACAGGAATTATTCCACTTATAATTGTTCATGGATAACATTGTTGGCCGCATTTGGTTTTTCTATTGTGTGAAAGAAACGTCTCCATTTATTCATCTAAAAATATTCGTAATGGCATTAGATAACTAATGCCCTCTGATGATTTCCGACTGGCCACAAAATTATTATTAGAAGGAAATACCCGGACTTGACGGTAGCGCAGCTAAGAAAGTTTTCCGTAATCAAGGATTTCTTTTCCCACTATAGGTTGTTCGATCAAAAGCTATCGAAAAGGAATATAGTACATAAATGAATGAAGCCTAGGGCATATGCTAGGCCCATAGCAGTTATTTTCTTAAAACATGCAAATATATCAATCGCCTTCAACACCGTCCTATTTGTGTTCCCTCGTGAATAAAGATAATTTGGGTTAAGAAGTAATTAAATATTTGAGAAACGAATTTATGACTTTCGAACAGCAGCTTAAAACTGTAAGAGAAAATAATCAAATCAGCAGTATCTAGATATCGAAAAAGTGGGCATAATAGCGTTATATTTATATTAGTAAAGTGCGGTTTTTTCTCCCCTATCTTCTCTAATAAGCCAGAGATCTGCTCGAGTTTTTATTTTTGTTACCGTTTTGTGTTTAATCCTTAAACTCTACTAAAGAAAGCCTAGGCCTTAACGCTGAGTTTGTCAAGCAGCCCTCCTTTGCTAAATACTTAAAAAAAATTGACCAGTTAATACTTTTCTTTTACATATCAGTCACCTTTTTACCTCGTAAAATTTTGTATAATTGAATTTTTATTACTTAAAAACTTTATCTTTAACTCTTTACCCACCTTTTCATGTTAGTTCAATTTGCTATATTATCCTTTTCGTAATAAAGGTACCAACAAAGAATCCTATGAAAAGATAATATTGTAAAGCGTTAATATGAATTGATAGAGATTGACACTAAGTTATAAAATCACTTAAAAAAAAAATTCAAAAAGTTGTAATGACAAAAATTATTGAGTTGGGCGCGATCGATAACCTCAGAGTTCCATTTTATTGCTAATACATACTATCAAGTATACTTTACGCTCATAGTAAAAATATTAATTCGTCGTAGGATGTCTGAACACACCCTTCCTTGGCAACAAGTACGTTCGATTCTTCTTTAAAAAGAAGTTGCTATAGTATAAAAATTAATTGGTTTTTAGGGGTAAAAGCACATCTTATTTTAAAATATAAAATATCAAATAGTAATAATTTTAAAAGTAATTTAAGATCAGAAGAAATTTAGAACGCAAAGTGGAAAAGATAATTATGGATAGTTTAGTCCATTGTAAAAAAAAAAATCGGTTAAAAAATGTATCGATCAGTTTCATTTATGTAAACTTAAACAAAGCATTTTTCATCAGCAGACCAAGCAGGCAAAGAGCTGGAGGGGCTTTTTAAAAAAGACTTAACTTCACGCACTCCACGACTGTCCTCTGTTTTTTCCGGAATTATCAAACCTCGTATAAATACCGTCTTACAGCAATTCTCGCGGTTAAGTTTTGTCGTTCCTTATCCCTCCCTTGGCTTCCACTCTTCCGTTCTGCTGGCTTACTTTCCGCGTCCACTGTCTCACCCCTGATATGTAACTAATTTTGTATAGGAAATAATATATATGTTGGTGTGATGGTTTTTCTTTGGAATTACCGTTTGACTTTCTACTTTTAATGTGAAAACAACGCGGCTGCTGATCACTTTTTTATTTTTACGTCCTATTATTCTAAGTTTATTTTGCTCGGTTTTAAATAATGTTATTGCTATCTTTTTTTTAGTTTTTAACCTTGAAGAGAGCGAGGTAGTGAACAGCTGGCTTAAGTCTTGTTACTTTCTTAAAAATATTGTAAGTAATTGCTTATATATGTTACAAGTAACCTTAATAAAGCTATTTTTTAACAAAGCGAGTAAAAACTATTTTGCTTCCTCAACAATTAGCAGCAGTTATTGTCTATTTACCCTTTTTTCTCATTTAAGTTTTGTTATGCTTCTGGTAACGTCAAAAACCTGCAAGCTTTGACTATATTATGTTACTAACTTTTTTGAGCTTTTTATAGTTTTTTTAATGATGAAAGCAACTTTTTAATATGCAAGATCTGAAAGCTTTTATACTTAAAAAGTGAGTAAGAAAGAACCTTCTTGCATCTGCGAAAAACTAGCAGCAGTTGCAGTCTGATTTATACATCCTTGATTAACATTTTTATGAATCTTTGTAAATCAGAAAAATAATTTGTTAAACCTTAGAAGATGTAAAGGTTAGAAGATATAAAGTCCTGTCTGATTGCCTTTTGCCGCTCTGCTTGTTTTATTACTGCTCAGCGAGGTAAAGTTATTTACTCTAAATTTTTTTAGCTGGATTGTTTTTATATGCTTGGCTTCGCCTAGCATAATAGTAAAAGTAAAACTATAACTTTTATTGTTCTTTACTATTAAATGTTAGTGGGAAAGTCCTTTTGCACTGTATTATTATGAAGTAAAGTTATTTAGTTACTTTGAGTTTCTCTAAAGAATGAGATTAAAATACTTTAGAATTTTACTGTTCGGGGTTTCATTGAAGTGATAAAATTTGCTTGAATATATAAGTATAGTATCTATAAGGAATAGGGATAAACTGAAGAATGTGAAATCGTCGACCTTAAAGAAAAATTACATTAAGAGAGTAGAACTGCTCTGAAATATATTATAGCTATTGAATAGCTTATAGCCCCTTATATAAAAATTTAATTGCTGTTTATCTCACAACGCATCTGTTGTCTATAACAATTATTACTTACATATAAAGATGTGCTCTTTCCGTGGAAACTATGTTCAAAGCTTACAGGAGCAACGGAAGTATTTTTACTCTGAGGAGTGATCTATATGCTTCCAATAAATATCCCCTTTTAAAGTTTACTCTCAAAAAGCTTGTAAGGATACTCGTTACCAGGCACTATCAATACTTTTTTTTTAAAACCTGATTTTAAGAATAAATAAAAGCTGCAAAGCCGCCCCACTGGTATATTAGCATTTTAATTTTTTATCTGTCTAGCACTAAAAGTGCTGTTGGGGTCAAGGGCAAAACTTAAGCGTAAAACCCAAGAATAAGCGAATTAGGGATACTCGTTTTAATAGTAGGTTTCATGCTGAATCTACCGGGAGTGGATTTGTCAAGTTTACTAAAGTTATGATAGTCTACTTTAATTGTTTTCTTTAGTTCAACGTGCTTTTGCTCTACTCAACGGTATATGCCATTGAAAGGAAATGCAATAACTTTAGTTTGCTCGATACCGGCTAATCATTCGAGTATGTGTTTCGCGGTCTGTTTTTGATAAGAATAAGCTTGATTCCTGCTCTTTCAGAATGTAACAGTTACAAAGGGTTTAAAAATCCTATTAGATGGCATATAATTAAAACCAGTACTTAATCTACTCCAGTACTTAAAGCCGTTTCTTTAGAACCGGTGTATTGTTAGAAAGTAACTATACAAATAATTGATTGAAAAATTTGAGGTGGTTTGTTTGTAAGGGTGTGGCTCACGAGTGCGGTTGGTTTATCTTTGGATCGCTTATATCTCATCTCTCCCGCTCGGTAAACTTGTAAATTTTGTCCGCCGCTCTTTCTCCTTAAGTCTAGTTTAGCCGACTATCAAACTTTTTGAAACCTTTTACAATGGTGCAGCTACTGCACTTTCTCTGCGGTTGCTAATTTTTTGTACAAACTTTTCAGAATAGTTTCGGGTAGTTACCTTTTGCATTTAACGAAATATTATTATGCTGTAGGTATTGGCCTAGTCCTCCTTTCTTTAACACTATTATTTAAACATTGAACCTATGCCGTGTACCATAAAACAAAATAGACTAAAGGTTATCGCTATAACCTTTATGCGACTACCAGTGGTTCAAGGCTCATTTCCACCACTGAAGGGTTGAACGCTCAACTTTATCTGCTAAGCAGTCGAGTAGTAACGGCGAAGATATAGGGACAAGTAAAGGAAATGAACATTCTTTTTCCTTTTTATTTTAGTGGGTCGTCACCCTTAAAGTCTTACTGTGAGTAGTAATAAGCTTTCTATAGTTTAATAAACATAGATATTAATTTGTGTTTATGTTTAATACTTTTTACTATACTTTTGTTAACATTTGCCGCAATGAATTTAACGTGCTCTATTTAAGTTGTCGGTCATCATTGTAATGCTCAGGTACTTTCCAGCAGCGTAAGGTAGCGCACCACTTATTTTGCGTTCGGGGTTCTTCTTGCCGAAGCTATTTGGCAAGTGTAGTTGTGCGTTTTTTCTCGTTAACCGGAAGGATGCCGTATCATTAGCAGAGAAGTGTGGGTTGGGAGTTTCTACAAGACAATACCAAATATAAAGTGAATTTTGGTGCAAGTCTAAAGAAGCCGAACTTATTTGTGCAAATTTTAATTTGCTTCCGCACGCATTTTAAAAGTTGCATGCCTTAAAGAAGTTGTTAATAGTTCTGCTTAACTCATGCGGATATTTTTTTCTTTGCAAAATTACACTCAAGCATTTTGAACAAAGGTTTATTATAATCTAATCCCAATAAACTTAAAATCAGACCCACTGTTACTTTATTACCAAGTCCATTAGTATTTATTTTTAAGTCGTTAAATGGATTATCTATAAACTTATATGTAATAATCCTTACCAATATATATTATTAATTTGCCATGGCATACGGTTGAAATTAAGAAAAACTTAAGATATAGACAAAACACTCTTCGAGTCTCACGTATTCTTTTCTTTGATAAGCAAACGGTGTACTAATCCTACATAAAACTACTTACACGCTGGGTAAAGAATTAACGAAGAAATTAGAAGTATATAAAAACTACGTTATTCGGTTTTGTAAGGTTGGTAAATTGTTGGTATTCCTCGTATAACAGCGGACGCAACAATCCGTTCAGCAAGTTCCTAGAACTAAAAAAAAGCATACCGAGTACTTATAGTTCCAGCTGACCTCACGATCTCTGTTACATTTTTAGCTTAGCTTTTATTCGTTTTCTTCACATATAACTAGATTTACTTTAATAAGTATTTTAGTAGCTTAAAATACTACGGATAACCATGAGGGGAACATAAAAATACCTGCTCAGTTTTTTTATTAAACCTCTGTAACTATAACTATAACTTTGTCACTGTTTATCTATTCTTCCGTTCCTTTACTTGAAGACGCTGTAGCTTCATTCATAAACGATTACATCCTTTAAAACTTGTTAGACTTTTAAAATTCAAACACATTCTCTCTTCTCATATTAAGAAACTTATTAGTAACAGATTAGACAAGGAAGAGCTTATAGTCTAAGTTTGTCTATAACAAAATTAGTATTGTGATCTGACACAAACTTAGCGGGTTTTAAAACAGTCTCTGGGACATGAAACTTTGATTATCAAGCACAGACGATAAATCCAAAAGTTATTTACTTAAAGCTCTCCAAAAGATAACTTTAAACCCCTTATTACAAAAGGGACATATAAAAGTAACTTTTATTTAAAGAAACTTTGTCTATAGAGTGCTGCCCCTTCAGCTCCCCCAGAAAAAGATAACTTTGTACACAGTTAGAAAAACCTCCATTCTTTGTAGAATTTTCCGCCTCTAGTTGTTATAGCCTAGTCGATTCGAATATAATAGCTAGAAAAAGGTGTGAAAAGATTAGGGAGAAGGTAAGTAAAATTGGGAAAGAGCAAAATTATGGAACTAGAGCGGGGAATAAAAATGCCTGACTATGCCCCAAAACAGAGAAACAGAACTAATGAAAAAAGTTAAGCCCCTGGAGGGCATAACAGTCACAAGAGGCTAGTAAACAATAAAAGCTAGCGGCGGCTATAAATAATAACTATGAGGGGTTATATATACCACTATCTATATTTAGTTTATCGTGCAAATAATAGGTCCGTTAGTGGGGCTCCATCTCACGAATGATATAGTACGCTAAACGAAGTTTAAGCGTAGTCACCACTAAACGTGCTATCTGGTAGTCATTGAAACAACAATGAAAAAGGGTGACCACTAGTACTGTCTTTCTAAACATTGAGAAGACTTCTGACCGAGTTCGACTTTGTCTTGAGCAAGCTACACACTGTCAATCTCACGCAAATCGTAAAAAAATGGTCTGGTCTTAAGCGTTTAAGTGGGGATCCTTGCCATATCGCAACGGGGATTCAGCATGACTCTCCTCGCCTTGCTATGCGCACTCTTTACGAGGGAGATAGATCTATCAATTAACGCTATTGGGTGGATAGTCCTTAAGGTCCGCTGATACGATGATATATTCGCCATCAATATTATCCATTTTACCATTCTAGCACCAGCAGCTTTATCTCGAGGAGCTTCCTAGCAGGTATTAAAATTGAGACCTCCATATTAACGTAAACTTAACTGACGAAACAATCAGCACGTGAAGTACGTGGTGGCAAAGATAAAGCATTGGACTCTTAATCTGTTTAAATAAACTTTTTTAATCTATTATAAATATCTAGTAAAGCTAGTTAAATTAATGTTTACTTAGTTGTCCTTTAGACTACTAAATTATTTTTTTAACTTCGACCAAAATACCCTCTAGATTGTAACTATTACCTCAACCTAATCGCTGATCCTCTAGACCAAGCAGAACTAAAACAACAAAGACGTGGTGAACACCAAGAAGAAAAAAGGTATCTAATAACTTGCTTGGCTGCTATCTGATGTTGGTTTCCATAAACCTTAAGGTGTTGTACCAGCTTATTTACAGAGGTCGCAATATCTGGCCTAATGCCGCTTGCGAGATATTGCAGGGATCCTATTAATTCGTTATCAAAACAGTTGTGTAGTGAAATAGAAGTTTTCAAGGGGTACCTACTTATAGGACACATCGCGGAACTTGACGGTGGTCTTTTTAAATTCGTGTAAGACGTTCATTATCATGAAATTCTAATTTATTTATAATTTGGTCCCTATTTCTTTAATTGGAACAGCAAATAAGTTTTCTTATGACCCTTCCTTGGAAGATTTCCTATTAATAAAAGTAATACTGGTGTCTTTGAAGCCATGATCATATGTAATTAAGATGCAGTGGATAGCGCTTTCATTACTGTAAAAAACGCATGGCTCAATCTTAAATTGGTTAAAACCCATTCCTTTAAGTTTATATTTAATTAACTCAACTCAAATTATCCCGCTTGTTTAGTTCCATATATTAAGGGATAGACACTTATAGTAAGTTTGGCCTTTGTAAATTAGTTCAAATTTAATAGGTATTATACCAACGTATTTACCCAAGTCGGCGGTAAGTTAGCAATTTTAAATAAAATTGTAGTTGTTTTAAAGCAAACTGATGAGCAAGTACTAGAAGTAAATGAGGCGTTTTTTTTTTCTTCTAAAGATTACGGTGCTCATAAAGTCATATATCAATGCCGTGAACTTAAGAAAAACTTCTAAAACAGAGCCGAGATCTATAAATGCCGTCTTCCTTAATTTTTTTAAGAATGCCATAGAGTATCTTCCAAACAGGTTTCCGTACTCTCAAGAGCTCACAATTCTTCGAGCACGCCATATTTCATCTTATAAGGTTTCCTTTGCGTTATTTGGTACAGACCCCTCGATTACCGTTAAAGTTAGAGGTTTGAATTCGATATCTCTAATATTATTAGTTATTACCCGTCATCAAAGGTTACTTATATTTGTTTCTTTTAACTTTCGAACATGTACCATTGAACCATAACAATTTTCCGGTGTTCTAAATTCTACCTTAACTTGCTAACCAAGTGCACGCATGTACGGGTTATTAGTGTAAAGTTTGGGGCTTGGAGTGGGTCTGCATATTATTGGTTCAGGTCCTGTTCTCACTTCTTTATCACTACTTTGGGAGGAGTTGCTTTCTTCGAACCTTTCGTTACAGCTATCACTAACTTATCATTAAAGTGAGTTACAACATTTTTTGTTGGTACAAACTTTAATAGAATTTCCCTAAAATTTATTCTTTTAACCAGTTTATTTCGTAGCTGTACTATAAATTCAATAACAATTTCCACAGGGATCTCGAGATGGGCCTGAAGAATTCTTTTGGCGCTGTTATATAAAAGTTTTCCGCACTTAACTTGAAAGATTACTTGCCGTACCATTGTCCAAGTGAATTTTCCTCATAAATTACCTATTACCCAGTATCTAAAAAGTTTGCTACAACAACTGAAACAGCGGATTTGTAGCTCGTAAATACTATTCATACGTACCTTGTTCGTTTAATAAAAACGGTAGTAACCCATTTAATTTCCGTCCAGTGATAACGGGTAAGTTCCGTGTAAATCAAATATACTTTCTTTAAATAAACTAAAGGAAGAATAATTTTACTAAGTTTCCTTTGAACGTTTTCATTTCTTATATTGTCTTCGTTACATATAATAACAGGATAATTTTCTTATATATTCTTACATTCAAAAGTCATTACATTAATAACCTTCGTAAGACTAGTGGTCCCAAAGAGACCCATTATTTCAAGCCATTACAAGTTTCGATCTAACAAAGCAGACGATGTAAGATTTCAGTAATCAACCATTGCAGGCTCTTTGGGCTATCTTCCATTGCTCAGAGTGGATAAAAATTAGTTCGTTCTTCAACGTCATTCCGCATTATTGCCATGTTATTGAAAAGTACTGCTTTCTTTTTGCCACATTTTTTACCGACGCTTGTTAAATTATAGTCGCATGATGGGTTAAATAAAGCCCTGCTATTATTGTATACGCCTTCTTCAGGACCTTGACAGTTTCTAAAAGGCCTTGTACTGACTCGGCAATAAGCCGGATATTTTTAACCAGATTTGCAAGTTTAATGATGGGCAACTGGGGCTAGAATCGAGTATATCCCTGTTAAGTATATAAGGATAAGTAGAATGACGGTGAGTGAAAGCATTAAAAGCGAATTTATAATAAATTTCCAATAAATTTTGCTTTGCATCGACTTTCAAGATGCCCAATCTTCCTGCAAAAACGACATACTGTAATAATATGACAATAGAAAGCTTCAGGAGGACCATATTTCCTGTATTATGTGCGAGCTTGTTTCCGAGTATAAAAATTACCAGAGCGCGCGGGTTCCCTATGAAAATCATCATCAGAGCTATTCCTTTTTTATAATAATTATTCCTTTTGGCTTCTCGGTTAACCTTTATCATCGACTTCAAAGCTTCATGGGAATCGTCAACATTGAGGATGGGGTTTTGCCAGGACTCCGCTGGTAAAGTGACGGTTCTATAAGCCATCTCTTTTAAAATTTCCTTTAGCATGGGCACTTGCATTTAAACAAACTCCGTTTGCCATCATTCGTAAAGGCATTGACGTATCTGCCGAATTTTATATCTTCTGTTATCAAAACGGTATTGGAATGTGCAATTATCCTTACAGCCAAACCAATTATTCTATCTCCTAAAACTGTGGCAACTTCGCCAGTCTTTAAATTTTACTTCCTGTAATTTTCTTTCTAAAGTCAAGTTGATTACTGATAATTTGGGATTTTCCTTATTTTCTAATTCATCCCGAAGTAATTTAACCTCATCGACTTTCGTGGTGACTCCATACTTCTGTTCCGTCCGACCAATTAGCCTTTTATATTCTAACAATTAAAAAGAGGCTTGGGTCAATACTTGAGAGTGTGGCGTCCCGAGCGATCGCTTTTTCCTTCTTCGCGTTCAGTTAAAGAACTTTTGTAGAGGACCGAACTTCCTCTCTATTAAAAACAACTCATTCTCTATCTTCCAGTTAAAGAATTGATCACGGATTTTTAGCTATTCTTTCAATGTGAAGCCCATCTTACTAATTTATTAATAAACAATTCAAAAAATAAAGTAATTACTACCTGTTGCGATGTTTTTGATGACATCTCGATTTGGTAACATCTCGACTATCGCCACTTTCCATCGCCCGGGAAAATAGCCCGAAGGTCAATACCTAGTTAAGGAGGCAGCACAGATGACTCATCGCAGCCTCTGGCAGTTTTTAAGAACAGATAAGTGATGCCGTTAAGGAAGGGGACCTTTCTCTTCGGTAGCACTTTGTTAATTTATTTAATCTCATATGTGGTAAACAACTTTAACAGTCGAAATAAGATTAGGCGCAAGGGAAGCAGACGGCGAACACTGGTCAGCTAGATCAGCAAAAAGTTTTGCTTTGCCTTCATCACTTTCGGCTACGGCAGCGCCGCTTCGAAGTGGTGCCCCAGTCGAATGCCCGCGATTTCTAACTCTCTTAACAAATTTTTAAAAGGAGGCGCGACCGATGTCACCAGCTTCCAATGCTTCATTTAATTTGTTATCCCATTGGTAGCTTGTTTGCGCCATCACGTGCCGGTAATGGCGGTTTAACATGACTACTCGGATGAGTACCAACGCTCGCATATTAATGCCTAGGCGCTCAGGGCGGTACACAACTTCGCCTGCCGTCGTTGCTGTGCTATGAGCTTTTGTCACCGCGAGTTCGAATTCGACCACAGCACTGTTTTGTTTAGCAAGAGTTTCGAGTGGTGTTGAAAACGGTGAGAATCGCCTTCTCGAGCAGTTCGGTGGATTTGTTTCAGTTCGTGTCGGATTGTAATGTCTTTATTGCTTCCTTTTCGTTGCCTAATTCGATCAGGTTAGGCAAATGATCCGACGACGACTTACTCAGCGCCTCAAAAGCCGTTAAGGGGCATATACCCTTTAACGCGGAGATATTCAGCTCGTCCACTATGTCCGTCTTCCTCGCCATTTGTGTAGCAACTGTTCTAAGACCATCAACCGGCGTTCCTCAGCGTTAACCTCAGGGGTGTAGTTGCATCGGTTTACAACCTGGCAGTTCGACGCAGGATATTTACAGTTAAAATCCCGCATAGAATGGCCGGGAGAGAGTTAAGAGTGGTTGGCTTGGTGGTTTATAGATTGCAATCACAATCATGGGCCTCCGGTCTAGCCAGGTTAAGGGTAATAACAACTGCCTCCAAAATGCTATTATATTGTGTTGGATGCTTCTTTCGATTAGTATAGCTACTCCTCCACTGGTGTACAACAGATCCCGGCGATATGTCGCAAAGTTACATTTGGAGAGAGTTGGTTTCGCTGACGAAATAAATATCTATTCTTTAGCGTTGCATTAACTCCTACAACTTGTGTTGTCGAGTAACTGAGTCTGCATTATCAGAGTAAGATTAGTTGTAGGGTACGCTTGGTACAGCCTCACTCTTAGGCAGGCAGGGTATAGTTAGGGTAAAGGTAGCATCTGGAGCAGACATTGGATGTGGTGGTCGCGAAGAGTGGTCGGCTGTTAAAGGTTTCCGTGTATAACATTCACAGCCCCGGTAGGTGTATGAGTCTCGCCAGAATTGGCACATCGAGCAGGCGAGTTTCGTGTTTCAAAAAACTATGTTGTCAAATGGCCGCATTTGAAGCACTGAGGTGCCCTAGCACAGAAGCATGCGCGACCAAAGTTCTTCCCTTCTTAATTTGTAGATGAGAATTAGCCTTTATTTCTGATAGCTTTAGTCGTTTGGTTCTGGGTATATCCATTAGCACTAATGGACGTTTCTTCCTTCCGTGTGCATAAGTGACACTCGGAGATGCCTTGCGCGCGCCGGTCCTTCTCGTCGGTGAAAATGTCGGGTTTACTAAAACTTTCAAGGATAACAAATTTGAATATGGCTTCTCTTCAGGTTTATATTAGAATGATGTAGTTGTTGATTGCACTTTATCGCTGTGATAGCGGAATATCCTCCGGCCTGATAATATTTTAACTCCAAGACGCGTATTTTATGGCCTCGGGATAGCTGCACAATTTGTACGAAAAGGGGCCACTTTTGCTTTTCACAAAGAATAATGGGTATGTTTTAATTATTACGAGTTCGCAGGAAGCTTACCACAGCAGAAGAGAAGCCTAGAGGTCCAATTTTATTTTAAGGGTTTCGTAAACATATTTATAACTTTTTAGTTAATTATATACTCATATTTCAAAGACTGAAATATTAAGAATTATTCTCAGATTTATAAAAGAGGTTCAGAGCAACAGCATTGATCCTTACTCGTTAGATCGTTATGGGGGCACTGTCAAAAGCGCTGTCCAGCTCCACGTCAACGGTGTCGCGTGAAGCACTTGAGAGTTTCTCTGAGTCTCTAATGACTTTCAAGTTGTTATTATCCTTATAGGAGGCTATTACCATTTTTATTATAATTATACTAATTACTATTATTCTTACGTGTAATATTTTTACTATTACTGTGGTTGTTAAAAGTTATACTATTATTAATGACGCTATTATGGGAACCATTGGTCACAAGATCAGTGCTACTACTACTACTATTATTAGTATTAGCTCGCTATCTTCTAGTATAACCTCAAAAGCAATTTGATGATTAAAAATTTTAAGGCTGAATATACATTATTATTGTTAGTTATACTATCAGGAGGCACCTTTCCCCTTTTAGCCTTATTTTTATCCTAGGTGGTTTAGTAAAAGCAAAAATTTTTGCATTGTAGAATTTAACTCTTTTTTTCTTTTAAGTTTTTCAATACAGCTAATAAGTTAGCAATTAATACAAGAAGCCCTTATTTATAGATAAGACCCAATTAATATAAAGATAAATATATTTTTTAAAGAAAAAGAAATTAGGCAAAGATAAAGAAAATAATAAATTTAAAATATAAAATATATATGTAAGAGAGGTAATAAATAGTAAGTAGTTATATATTTAGGTAGTTTAAGTTTTCAGATATATGTAAGTATACTTTAAGTAAAGCGCTATGTTAGTAGGGGTTAATTATTTTTCGCAAATACTAAGCAGTTGAGGTGCCCAGGCCCACGCTCTCAACGGTATAACTGCAAAGAAAAAGAACCGCTACACGCCCCCGGCAGAGGCGACTAGACTTTTGAGGGCTCGAGTGTTCCAACGCTAATCGATCGAGCACAGGGAAGACCATTAAGTACTGAATATATATTTTTCCCTCTTTACATACGACTGACTAAACGCAAAGTTGAGGTGTTACCAAAGTAAATCGTTCGCTCGGTTGCGGTTTTGGTTACTATTTTAAAAATAAGGCACGAGGGGGTTTTCTTTAATCCTTTGAATGTCTTTAGTTTGCTTATGACTTTTCATAGTGAGCTACCTCTCAAGCAAATAATTTTCTAAGGACCCTTATTTATTATGAGCAATTCTCGGAAGAGCAGCGCTAAAATATTTGGAAAAACAAAAGAAAAGAAGAAACCAACCCTTAACATACAATATGACCTATTTGTTAATTATAATCGTGTACACAATCTTTTTAGCTCCTAATCACTTAATAAATGTGCTTAGAGTTTCCGTAAAGTTTCTGGAACCAGCAACATAATCCCTGTTCCGAAGAATTCTATTAGCCCCAGTGTAGAGCTTGGTCAACAAGTCGGCTTTATTTTTTGTATCATCCTTTTTTATTAGAGTAATTTACTCTCTTCGATAAAAAAGGCCCCCATTCCTAAAAGAAATATTGAATTTTCAAAGTTAGTTAAATTAAATATAAATTTTGAAAGACTTTACGAGGTAGTGCAGGCAAAGCTAAGGAATGATGAGTTTTATGTAAGCTGAGCTTGACTTATCTATAACACCTACTAATTTTTTTGATTTAGGATGTTTTAACTTTTCCACTTAAAGATATTTCTGTAGTTCGCGAAAAGAAGGGTTTAGTCTTTATATATGTAAATAGCAGTTGCCATTATGCATGAAAATAAATAGAATTCAGTACAATTGAAAAGCCCAAGTTGCCAGGTGGAGAAACTCCAGAATATATAAAACAGGTGGCATTGTTATACCAACTTTACAAGTGGTTATTATAAATTATTTTCACCCATCATAAAGATATTTATGGAGCAACTAAGAGACTATTGCATCGTGAAGTTTAATTACTCCAACTATTCTTTGGAAAGCAGGAATCCTGGTTTGCTGGTCTTCTTTATTTCACCTCTTTATTTATTAATCCCATCAACTCTAAAGTTACAGACAGCCAAGTTCGAAAGGCAATTTATGAAGTCGATATGGTCTTTTTATGCTACTTTACTTTGTAAATTTTAACTTTATATTAACTACTAATAGGAACCGAAAACTTCTCTGGAAATACTTAGTGCGGATAATAAATTTTTTACCGGTGGTTTTATACGATAGTGTGTAAAAGGCTTTCATCTTTTTTATTTATTTATTTTTGCTTTGGTTCTATCATGCATTGTAGATCCTAATGTTATTAGCAAAAGTCTCACAAATGTAGAAAACTACAAAATTCCTCGTACTGGTTATTTAATTTACTTATTTAAACTTTATAGTTTTTTTTCTGCTTATTTTTTATAGCAGTTTTTAGTAAAAAGTTTATTATATTTTTTTAAGTTACCAGATACGAAGTTTTCTCCTTATTCAATCTCCTGATTAGCGAGACTCAAACTTTTGGTACTTGAGTTCTTCCTTCTTTCCCCTAATTTTTAACGACTTTCCTAAGACAAAACGCATCGGAACCAAGCCGAAGAGTTGGGTGTGTATTTTATTTTTCTTCATGTTCTTTTATTAATTTTATGTAAGAGCGGCGTTGCGGAAACTTTTGTCTTGCGTTTTCATCCCCGAAGAATCAGAAGCGGTACCCATGCTATCAATTATATAACCTAGTGGGACTCTACTGGTAAAAAAACGTGTAACTTTAGAATCAGAGTCGAAATATTGGGCGTTGAGTTGCTTCCGAAGTGCGATATTGAGCCTCTGCACGTTTCTGTGGCTCTTCATGATCTCGGTCTCTCTCGCTTCTTGAGTATTGTCTTCCCTTTGAAACACTGCAGAACAAAGATGGGCGAAGTAAAATTAGCGAATCTTTTTACCCAAACGTGAACACGGACGCTCTTGCTGCTTTATTAACCAGAAACCAGTTAGCTTCTTTTTTATATACAGCTGTAAATTTTAAATGCTCTGCTTTAATTTTTTAGGCACGGAACGGTGGATGCCGCCACCAAGGCGACCTCCGCAATCTTCACTTATACCGCTGGTGCAAGCAAGTATCTTATAGTAAAGGTGAACTTATTTTTTCCCTTTTTCGTTACTTTGCTGACCTCTGAAAATGTCCAGGCCTACAGGGCCTCTATAGGAAATGTGTACGATCCCTACTCCCGCGATAGCGAAAACGCGAAGGCCATCGCTAAGCATATTTCTGGTGTATTTCTGATGTGCTTATATTCCGTAACTGCATATGTATTGTTTATGTTCCTGCAGTCGTGGAGGCTACAATTTCGCGGGTGGGCGTGTTGTGGCAGCCGTTTTTTTGGTGCTTCCTGCCCCTTTCAGGTACTCGCAGGCTCAATTTCCGCACTTACTCCATGGCGGCTCACTTTCCTATTCAGACCTCAACAGCCATCGCGGGGAGGCCATATATGCTGTCAATACGCTTTATAGGCAAGATCCGTCCTCCAACTTCGAAGAAAAGGACATCTACAAGGTCTCGCCCAGGCAGCCACTTGGATTTCCTCTACTAATATTGCTGTTCTACTGAAGCTCATATCGGAGGAGTCAGCTAAGAGGATGGGGTCTTTAAAAAAGCACAAGATTCTACCAGGCACGTTGAAGCTGACCATCATTCGATTGGAAGAGGGCGACAACGTGGTACTTCTCGTGGTTCTCGTGGATTACATGCACTATTAAACGAGTTTTTATTGGCTAGCCTAATTGTGTTGATCCCATGATGCGGCCCTTGTCCCCCTCAAGTGGGCGCGCTGGCGTTGTGCGGATTATTCAAGGTGATCAGGCTGCCCTGCATGACTTCGTGTGGCTATACGCATTGAGTGATAGACTTTACCTCGGATCCCAAAGCCGGCATGGAGTTAATGAACTGCTGCTATGTCTACCCGCAGAACCTCGACTTCGAGAGCGTGATTCTCTTTGTACGCCCTCATACTTTTCTTGTTTTTGTTCCTGCGACTGTTCTTTTTTTAAGAAAAATTTTAGAAATCTCGTACTAAAGTTTGAAGTTTTTGATAGCGACTCCTCTACTGCCGTTCCTCTTTCGGTTGGTTTGTTCTTCTTTTTCTTCTTATGCAACGCTTTTCCCGTCCGTGCACGGCAGTTAATCTACGGGACTATGCAAGGCCGCGCGCTTGTTAAGCACGTTTTCTCGACCGTAACCTACCACAACCGCTTTCCCAGCTACCACGATGTTTCCATCTTTAGTGACTTTTGAGTCTCTTCGCGGAATCTCCTTTGCGTGCAGGAGATAAAAGTTTGTCTGCCTCTAGCGCTTGCTCCCCGCCTGCACATCAAAGTTACCATCTACCACGTGCATATCAAATCATCCAAAAGGCATGATGCCGACCCTCTTGAGCTTATCGGGTCACTTTGCTTATATTTTTTGGCGACACGTTACCCACATACGCTTGTTTTTCCCCTTTTTCATATTTCCCACTCACATGAAGATTTTCGGTCTTGCCTCTAGTAACCAATCAGCACTGTTTAATCGAGGATGGTGCTTACAGCCTACCGGTAGTACTCTACTGAGTACTCCCTCATGGGTCATTATAATTCTTGCTGAACAGGTGGCCTTAGAACTTCCCGACCAATACCTGCGCTATTGCCCCCTCGGCCAGTTGACCAATCAAGGCATGTTATTCTTCGTCTTTGAAAGTTAGTAGGCTGTGACATTTAGCGGATGTGCATGACACGTTTGGCATTGACTTTTAAGACTTAATCAACTTCTCAAATTTTAGCATCTTCTCCAATCGCCTGGTTGGGTGACGGTCGTCCTCTTTTTTCATTAACCTTCCGGGCTTATACCACCGTGAGTGTTTCTTGACCTCTTTGTTGAGAAATTAATAGAGTATTATTTTCCGACCAGCTTCACGTGCAGAATTCGACTTTGTTGACGGTTTTCCAAAGCGACGGTAGCATTAAATCTCGTAGTTTAGTGAGAAAAGAAGGTCCCCTTGACGCGGCCCCAAATTTGGAGCATCTGTACGGTTTGCAGTATGTCCCGAAAAACCAATTGAGCCGCTTTCTCCTGGTGAGCCTTTCTAGTATTTTGTGCTTCTTATATTTTACTGTCATTGGCGTTTGTAGGTTCTCCTAAAGAAGCTGCTTAGTATCATTAGCTGCAGTGACCACGAGACACTCCCGCAGGGCGCCACCACTGCGTTTCTGAACGTGCTGAACATAGTTAACGAGTCCGGTTCTGTTCTTTCTTCTTGTGCTTGTCTGTTGAAGGCATTAATCACATGTTGCCTTCGTAGGGGGTCGTAGCAAATGTCTCGACAACTTCGTTAAATACGGATTTTCTAATTTTTCTGGCGAAAATTCATATCTTTTCGAGAGGCTCATTACCATTTGGCGAGATTTTCTGTCTTCCGGTGGCGTATATGTTTATCTGCTCGACTTGGTTAGGCCACTCCGAGTTTTTCTTTTTAGGGAGCCAGGAGGCCGAAAATCTTACTCTCAGACACTCGTGGTTCTTATTTGAACTTATCGAAAAGAGCGCCATCTTGTACTTAGAAGAAAAGAACCTGTTTACGGGGTACGGGCAACGAGTTTTCTTATCCGGCCTCCACACATTTCTTACCCCCTTTGCTGTCCTGCAGACCTCGCAAAGGCCGCTTTACCAACCATGTGACCGCCAATTTCGAGGCTCTTATTTCCTTATTCAGTAAAAAAGTATTTCCTATATTTTTTGTAAAGACAGTCTCATTATTATATCCAATCCGCAAAGGTTTACCACGTCGTTATGTCGGACTCGCATTACCTTCTCGGGCAAAGCCTGAATCGCAACCTCGCCTTCTTCCTGCGGAACTGGTCTTTCGCACCAGCTCTATTGGTGCTCAGTGGCCTCTCACGCGCTTGTTGGCAGTCTCTCGTATATGGACCGCACGGTGGTCTTTGATCTTATTCAGCAACACGTGGCCATTCTGTCGGCTGATCAGCATCCGTCCCTTCTTGAAAATAAGACTTCTTTTATGCATGTCGTGCTTATGTACGAGCACTACTTGCCCATGTGCCTTCCGCTCCCAACAACTATTGTAATCGCTGTGGCGAAGACTACTGGCGGACCAGTTGAACTTATCTTTTCTTTTATCCAGAAAACCTCTGAACTGACCGTCACCAATCCTCTGTTCCTGGAGCGCCACGGCCTTCTCTCGTTGCTGATGAGCGAGGTTCCTCTTACGCCATCGCTGCTTCTGTGGGCCTCATCTCCATCTCATTCTGTACAGCTGCCTAAGCACCTCTCCGAACACGTGCTGGACAGACCTAAACGGAGTACGCTCATCTCTGTTACCAATAATAAGATAGATCGCTCCCTTTTGAATTCTGCAGGCCGCCCCTTTTTGATGTTCTTACAAGTTATTAAAGCTCTTTTTCGCAAAGTATTTTTTGACGAGCGTCACGCGAACATGAAGCTGTACCTTTTCATACAGCTCTTATCTCTGGTATATATAATACGGTTCTGCATAGAAAGCACAGAATTGCTTGCTTGCATTTCCCTCTTGTTCCTTTTGTTTTGGATAATTCTGCAAAGTTGTTACACACTTCCAGCGCAGGTATATTCCGTCCTCATTTTCTTTTTTTGTACAAGTTTTCCTCTTGTAAATAACTTTAGGAGCTCCTGATGTGGGTTCTACTTTAAAGTTTGCCAGCACTGAAACTCTTCCTTGCCTGTCCGATCTTTTGGACTTGAAAGAATCGCGAGACCTTTGTCTTCTGTTTCTCTCTTTGCTTTGCTACTTGGAGAAGGACTTTATCGTCGCTTGGCTTCAGGAGGTCTTCTTTGTCTGTTTAGAGGATGCTGTGAATATACTCTCACACACAGGAGAGTGTTATACGGAAGGAGGCGCTCGCTTCCGTCCTGGAGGCATGTGTTTACCACTTTAACTATTCCGGAAAGGTGTTACTTCTTTCATTGTGGGACCACGCATCCTATTATTTGTTTTTATGTAGGACGCTGTTGTCTTTTCACTTTTAAAGAAGGAAGGTTCTGATAAAAAGAAGGTTTCTGCCGAGCTTGCCAAAGTCACGCTTTCGGAGACCTATGAAAAGTGTCGCCCTAATATATCTATTAGTATTATAATGTGCTTTCTGTAGTTTTCTATAGGATTCTTCCGGAAAGAAGCGGATTGCTGCCATGCGCCAGTTGCGGCAGGAACGTAGCGAAAGTGATGCTCTCTATAGGGTACCGTGCCTCTTTTTTGACCATCCCACGTATCATTGACGTATCTTGTCGCGTAGTTGGGCGCCCCCTCCCTTATCAGTGACTACGAAAGTGACGCGAGAATGTCTACCCCGCCGGAATCCGTTTCTGATGAGGTAATTGAAGCTGGTCCACGCCGAGCGTGCTGTTCTTTACATGCTCATAGAAAGCTGAGAAGGCCATTCTAGTCTCCCAGGCGATTTCTCAGGAAGTGAGTCTGATGGTAATATTGGTTTTCTAAAAAGAGGGCCGCCCTTGAAAAACCGTACAATTCAGGTGCTTGAGTTATACGATGTTTTCCTTTCCTTGAAGTGCCCTCGTGAGACCCCTGAACTTGTAAGCTTCGACATACATAAACTTTTTTTCCTTTTGCTTTACTTATTTGAGCAGCGGGAGAAGTACTGCCGAGTTTTGCTGTCCGTTTTAAAAAACAATCAAACCGAACCGATCCTACTAAAAACTTTTTCTGCGCTGCTCGTTTTCATCAATGACAAGCCCGATTTGTTGTTTAGTGGAAGCGTGGATCTCTGCTTTTCACTCTGCAGGCAAGCTTTATGTACTATTTCCCCTGTAGCGTAATAATGCCCTTGTAAAGAGAGTTCGTCAGGTACTGCAGCTCCCGCATATCCTCCATACGCAACAAGGCTGTCGTATGCATATACGCCCTCATGCGTGCAAATTACGAGTACACCCGGAGCAATATCACCAGAACGTTGGTTTTATTATAAAATTTGTGTACTGCCATAGAGATTTTCACCCTTTTGTATGAAAGTTCGGTGCAGTTGGCTATGGCAGTAAGTAGAGTTCTCGCTAGCTTTAATAAGGAGAGCGCCGAGTCCATCCGACAGTCGCCATGTCCCTCCAGAGACGGCGTTAACTTTTTTTTGACCAATGGTTTCTTGCGTTTTATGTTATAAGACTTTCTTTTCGCTCTCATTTTTACTGTACCCAGTGCGTCTTCTTTGCCAGTGGGACACTGCCATAAAAGCTGCGTTCAAGGAAAAGTTTAATCTTGTGATCGACAATATGACGCGCATCTACCGGGACACCATCCGCATGCTTGAGAACAGCGATGATCCCTACTTGTACAGCGACATGCAGTATCGGATCGCTGAAGGTGTGTCTGGAAGCCTTCTCCCCTCTTTACGTGCTTATGTCGATGGCAGGCTACCGCAATTCGCCGGACCTGCGGCTTACGTGGCTCCAAAACATCGAAGCTTTCCATCAAAACGAACAAAACTTTGCGGAGGTTCGGGGGGTACACTCCTCTACCCTTTAAGAATCGACTTCCTCTCTTTTGCAGGTCGCCATGTGCAGAGTCCATATGTGTGCACTTATATCTGAGTATCTTTTCACAACCAACTACTCCCAAGGGCTGCCCTCCGGGTAACGGGGCTCGTTTACTTATTAGTTTACTTGCTGTTTTATATCATAAAGCGCCTCTGCTTTTTATTCCGTTTCGCCAAATGTGAATGACGAGAGCGCGGTTCACTCAAGTTTTGAGAACGAAGAAGGTTGCTTGCTCCTGCTCGGCTATTGTCGCTTTATGCTCTTTATACGTAGCGTTCATTTTTAAGGTCTCTCCTGTAGTTCTGAGTTTTCTGAGCAAGGCTTCAGTGTACTCCTCGAGAGTTGCCGGTCAGCCCTCCAGAAGGTATTACGCAACTGCATTTGCTCTCAATTGTGCATACGAGCATTTTTTACAGGCCGACCTATACGAATTAGTTCTTAAGATTGGTAAAATACACATTGCGCTGCTAGAGAAAGATCGCATGTATGAGTGGATGAAGGTCGTCTACTTGGCGATGGCGGACACCACAGATTCCGTTATTAGTGCCGTATTGCCTTCTCCACCATCTTTTTACCTCCAAATCTCAATTTTTCTATAAACAGAATAAAGACAAAAGATTACTGGGCACGTACTTTCGGGTGCGCTTTCGGGGTCCCGCCTTTACCGAGATGAGTGAAAAGGAATTTATTTATAAGGAGCCAAAGGTCGTTTGCTTGCTGAACTTGTCGAGTTTATTTATGAAAGTAGAATGCCCTTATAGATAACTCCGTTGGCGGATATCACGCTTAGATTGGAAAAGTTTTATAAAAACAAGCTGGGAACTTCTGCCTTTGAAATCTATCAAGAGGCCAACGAGCTAGAAAGTGCAAAGCTAGATTTAAAAAAAGTACTGGAGATCGTTTCCTATCAATTTATGAACCTTGATTTTGTCGTTTGCAGAATTATATTCAAATAACACACGTGCAACCCTACTTTGATGAGATCGAAGACAGAAACCGCATGGGAGAATTTGAACGCTCTATTCATCTTAGTTTCATTCCTCTTAACGTAATTGCTAATCCTAGCTTATTGTAAATTTAAAGAGCAGTTTGTGTACGACGCGCCGTTTACACCGGGGGGAAAGGCGCACGGACTTCTCCACGAGCAGGTAACCCGGCAGTTTTTCTTAATCTTTAAACATGGAACGTTTTTTCTTTTTTCTTAGTATAAAAGGCGCACCATTATGCAAACGTCGCATTACTTTCCTTACCTGAAAAGGCGGATCACTGTGGTCTCTCGGGAGAGCTTCGATCTCGAGCCTTTAGCAGTGGCTCTTGAAGAGATCCAAAAGAAGTGCAACGAGCTCTCCGCTGTAACTACCACGTTTCCTGTGAACATCAAGCTCCTTCAGCTGGTCTTGCAGGGGACAGTGAGTGTCTCTGTAAACGCCGGTTCACTCTGATTTTTGCGGTTTTTTCGTGACCTCTCCTTTACTTCTACCCCTAACGACTCAGGGCCGATGGCTATCGCAAAGACCTTTTTGGGAAACGAGTTGAAAATAAACTATGACCCCCAAAAGCAACGCAAGTTGCGCCGGTTATTCAAGAATCTCGTCTCTTACTGCCAAACAGTATCCTTAATTTTATCTTTCAAACGAGTTGATATCAGTCTCCATTTTAGGCAGTTCAGCTTAACTTTCAGAACTCCCCTGCGGATCAGGCGCTGTATTCGTAAGTTCCATAAAGTGGGCTTGAATATGGTGGTTGTGATTTTTTTGCAATAGACAGGATTTAGCTATTAAGTTTCAAAGCTTGAAAGAAGCACTATCGCCTTATATAGAGTAGAGATAGAGATCCTCTTTAAATTTGTATACAGTATAATAAATTTTTATATATTTATAGACATTCTTTTAATAACAAGAAATTTAACTCTACAATTGTATAAGTAATTTTCGCTCCCTTCCCTTGTTGCTGTTGTTTGTGGCAGAATGAAGCGAAAAGTTTACCTTAACTCTTTCAGTGTATTATAAATCCAAAAAAATAGAGTTCCAAGCCAAGGATCTTCGTTATTCCTTTTCTTGCATGTTTTCTTTGACTTAGATTTTAACCCCTTAAAATTTTTAAACGTTTTGAACTTTTGCGGTCTACTTGTACGCCTCCATTTCATTTATTTTCTAAATTGTTCAGTTTTTAAGAATTAAAGAATTTGTGCAGAAGATAAGCAGGAATTAATAATTATAAGCTTCAAGTGCAATGCTTTCGCCCCTCCTTTGAAAAAAGCCTTCTAATTCTCTCTGCTTGTGTACACGTCACCACTTGGAAGCTGATATTGTATTAACTTAAAAAACATTATATCTTTGCTTTAACACTTTTTTCTCTGAAAGCTTGCTTTTATATTTATGGTGGCTAATTTATATACTCAGAAAAATTATGATTTTTTTATAATTTCAAAGAATTTTGACTTAGAGACTGGCAAATAGAAATTAATTTCATAGTTTAACAGCTTATTTTGTGTTCCCACGACTCCGTGCCATATAGCTCGTAAAGTATTCCACTTCGTGTTCTGTATAAACAACAAATGTAGAACTTTTTCTAATAATGTAGATGACAGAAGGTATAACTTAACTTAAAAAGGGTAGTATTGAAAAAAAATATCTTTAATAAAACTGGACTAATCTATCTATTTATAGGCAGGCCAGCGGTTAATATGCATAACTGAGCGGTTTCCTGTTAAACTAAGAATCAGTTCGGTTATACGGTTATCTATTGCGTTAACAAGAGGAGGTAAAGTATCTGAGGCCAACTTTAAGGATTATATCCGCTCTTGTGGGTTATATACTTTTTCTTTAGTTTAAAAATATAATTAAAAATTTTAAAAAAGAGATTTTTAGCTAATTTATTTATACAACTCTCTCCGGTGTTTAACGTCAAAAATATCTTAAGGGGAAAAAATAATAGATCGGTTAACTAGTTGATTTATTTGCGATTACAATTGCGAACTCATATTTTTTTAATTTTTACGTTTCTGAAATTTTAAGTTAATATTCTTGTGCTAATTTTATTTTATGTTGTTGCGTAAAAGTCTTTTAACTTTCACCTTAAGCCACGCTATGCAATTAAAAGGGTAGTCTTATGTTCTACAAAACACATTAAGTCAAAATAAATTTTTAAATTACTACTTATTCTATTACGAAGTTTTAGTATAGGGAGTCAGTCCTTATTTTTTAATATGATAGGTATTTCTTGTTTTTATGTTACCTAAAACTTTGACGGGAGTGCTCATTAATATGCTCATAGTATATATTTAATAATTATATATATAGCTTTATTTACTTTATACGTTACAGTCAAATTCATCTAGCAAATTGATAAATCTCCTACGGGCAGTTCAAATTTGGGAGCTTCCACTTTTAATAGTCATTCATAGTGATATAACACGTTTAGTAAACCTAAACACTAAGATCAGCAATTACAATTTTTATCCTGTCTTCTTAAATTTTAAATTTTTTTTAGTTACCCTATTTTCTACAACTTTCATATAAGAGGTAATATTCTATAAAGATCGAGTAGTTTTACTAACCACCGATTCCAAAAGATTAAGATAATTTTACAAATTTTTTTTTTAGTCAAAGAATGAAAGTAAATTCAATAGTCTAAATTGTGTCAAAACTCCAATTATAATTGAAATGAAGAAATCTTCGGAATAAAATACAAGAGTATAACATTCTCTGAAGAAAACTTGCTATCGCAATATACGAGAGGCAATGCTTGGACTCGCTATAACCCTTAAACCGATAAGTACCTCTAAAGTGAAGCTAATATAAAAGTCGGAGCTTCCCAAAAAGTTGCCTATAAAGATTAATTTGCTACAAATACGACTTTATTAGCTTCACATAATAATTTTTAACCTAAGTGGCGTATAAATTTTTAAAATTCGAGAATTATCTAGATTTTTAAAAATTATTGGTATAAAAGGAAATGGAGGGGCCTGAAACAAACCACATTGGCTTTTAGGTGATCTATTCCCTTTTTTTTTAACTCTGGGGTTCCTATGCACCATCCTCACAACGTTTATTGGACTCCTTATCAAAGTGGCAACTATTATCCAGGCGTTTCGCCTTGGACTTGTTGCCATTATCCTTACAACGGTTGTTGTCAAAGCTTTTGCCATCACTTTTCCCCTTATAGTGGGTCGGTAGAATTTCGGAATCGAGCTCCCGGATTTTGGGCAGGGCAACAAAATTTCTGCCCCTTGCCTTTTAATCAGTGTTATCCTCCTTATCCTAATTGTTATAAAGACTTAAACTCTAACGGCAACGGGGAACTGGGTGATACCTTTAAAGAAAACCGAACTATTGACACGGAAAGTACTCCTTCTCAAGAGGGCACTCAGTACTACGGTCGTGGTTTTTTTCCTTTCTTAAGCCAAAACAACTCTTATCCAGACGCCAACTTTTGGGAACCTCGTGGTCATTGTTGCCAATTTAAAAGTGGACTAGATGAACTTAAAGATTTAAGGAGCGAATTAAAGAAAAATGTTGAAACCATCAGGCACACTGGAAATGAAATCAAGGATTTCTTGTTAGCGCAGAATCCGGTCTCTTACCCCGCTGAGGATTTGGCCGAAAAGTTTTTAAAGCAAAGGCCTTTTCTTAGTGATAAACAGAGAAACGAATTAATAGAAATGTTAAACTACAACTTCCCAGAGGAAGGGGGTGATTCACTAAGCAAAGGCAGGGACAGGGTCTTGATACGTCCTCATCCTGTGCCCAAAGCTACGACAGTTTCTTTAGATGAGGAAAATAGTAGAAGCCTCGTGGACGCCTTGTGCAATGAGATAATAAAAAGGATTTCTGGAGCAGGGCTTACCTTGGGAGATCGGCGCGATAAGTCTTTGGCCTCTGAAGATATAGGTTTGCGTGGTGCTAATCTAAAGGACATGGAAAGTAATTCTAGCCAGCCTCGCAAATTAAAGGTGGTAAAGGATCCTTCTATAAAAATAGTACCCAATATCCAAAACGTGACAACTCCTTTAAGGATCCCTGAAGCTGAGCCCCAAGTCTTAAAACCCTTTCCGAGCAAGGGGGAAAGTCAGATTAAAATTCCAAACCTTCAGGGTTTAGCAAGTTCTCTATTTAAGGAGCCCGATGCCGGATCCTATAAACCAGTTTTTGATGAAGGGAGGAGCCGAGTTAAAATACCTCTCAATGCGGAGAACTCTAAGAAGCCTCAGGATATGGCTCGAACTGAGGGCTTAAATTCTTCTTCAGCCCCTTGCAACGAAAAGAAGGCGCTTACTAGAGAGCAAAAGGAAGAAAAGTTAAGGATGCTAGTAAAGAGTGTCGCTGAGGCTCAAAATAAGTTTTCTATTTTAGAGCGTCATGACTTTAGTAATACTCTCGCAAGAGATGATTGGGAGAAAGAGCTAAGAAAACTTGACTTTTTTGTCCAAAACATTCTCACCGAGTGCGACGAGATCCAGTCCGATGGCGACTCTGTCATACGTCAGAAGCGTAAAGAGGTGGTGAAATTGGCACAGGCTGTGCTAGATGCAATTGAACAGCTCCCCCGTCAAGCTCCTTCTGGTACTGGAGGTTCAGCTCAAAAGAAAGATGGCGACTCTGCGGCGGAAATGTCTCCATGTGCTGCTGGTTCTGAGGGTTCAATAGATACAAGTTGTACTGAGAAAGAAAGTAAAGGGCACGCTTTTAATCAACTAGCGAGTTGTGCTAGTAGCAGAGAGGATTTACTACTTGCTAACGAGGAAGAGCCCCGTAGAAACACGGAGGCTTCTAGTGGCAAAAGGATCAGGTTGGGAGACGTTGAAGTTGCTAAAACAGCAACTGACGAGGTGGAAAGTTCTGAGGGGGCAGAGTTAACTGGAAATGAGAGCCCATCAAATCCCTTTAGCCCCCCGCCCGATTCGCCTCCTGAGTTAATCGAGGAAAACCTCAGAGACATAAGCAATGAAAGCTCCGAAAAGCGCTCTATAGAAAGTGTGGAGGTCCAATCACTTAAGGGACCCGACTTTGAAAAGGATAATGAATTTGGAGCTAAAAAGGAAGTCGGCGCAGAAGATTTGGAGAAGAAACCTGGTACTAAGTGCTCTGATGCGGAGAGAGAAACGGGCCCCATGGAGGGTACTCACCCCCAATGTAGGGCTGAAAGCTGTGGTGACCAAGGGCGTTCTACTGAAGACGAGTATGTAAAGGTTTAAATGGGGATTTCATGTCGCTAGGAATTATAGTTGGCCTCAGTGAGGCTGAGTATGTCATGCCGGTTAATAGGGGCAGCAGTTAACTTAAATAAAGGTTATACTCTTTTGGCAAGTCTATTTCTGTGAACTTTATGAGTCGGGTTAGTTAGTAAAGTCGATGTCATTTTATAATAATAACTTTATTACTAAGTTGTATAGTGTAAATACTGAACGCGGCTCTGCTCTGCGTTTATTCTAGTAGTTTATATAGTCTGAAGTCTGTGTAGTCCTTGATAGCGAATGACACACCTAATTTCATTAATGCTTCTTCGATATAGGGAGGGAAGAGGTACATTAAGAGATAAAAAAATGCAGTAAACCTTCGTCGAGGCTTGTTGCTACCCCGATAGTAGTAATTTGAGCTGCAATAGCTGCTTTAATCCCGGAGGGAGAATCCTCAAACACTAGGGCTTCCTCCGCTTCAAGCTGGAAGTGGCTTAAAGCTATAAGTTTATAGGTGTGAAATAAATAAGGGGCCTCAGAAAAGTTACTTTCAAAGTATTTAAGCGTTTTCCGAATTATAAGGTCGAGTAGCTCTGCTATACTTATAACAATAGAAACTGACACCGAGTAGGTTATTTACTAACGAAGTGACAAACTAAAACCAGCTTAAAATTGGAAGGAAAATATGTATCTAGCGGTAGTAATACGGTATTACCGGAAAGGTAGGGCCTAATTGAAGATGAGTTCAAAGATAATTAAAAAACCTCGTTATTTACAAAGATGTTAAATTAAAAAAAAAAAATTTATAAGGAGAGTGAGGGCTGCATTTTAGTTGTAATAAAACTAACAAGGGATGAGGCTTAGCAAACTTTAGCTCATCTCCGATCACTAGCAGATCAAAGTAGTCTGCTACTGTTAAAATTTGTAGTAAAGTTTCCGCATTTTCTAAAATTTTAATGGAAGTCAAATGTTTACAAACTAATTCACATGTATGGAAAACACGAACTTTAGAAAACTGACTTTTTTTAACAGAAAAAGGTATTTAAAGTTTACTTCTTGGTGCGTTTGTTACACAAGCCATGGCGATATTCTTGTTTCTCGCTGCTTCTAAAAAAAGTTTTAAACCAGGAAGAGGTTGAAGTTTATCTGTAAAAGACAAAAATTGCTGTAAACAAAGGGTATATTAAGCAATAGAAGTAAAGAAAACGTTTATTATGAAAAAAGACTTTCTATAAAATACCCAATTTATTTCTAAATAAAGATTCCTTCAACTCTATAAAACTTTTAGCTTCTTCTTTATCAACATCCGGAAGTATAAAAGATACGATATCTTTGTTGTGTTTCCCGCTACAGGGTAGACGCCTCCGTAAAGCACCTTAAAACTTTAAAGGTAAAAAACCTGATGTCTTTTTTATAGTCTTCTACTGTCAATTTTTTGTCATATTTTTTTTTTAATAGAGATGAAAATATTTCGTAATGCAATACATCCGTATTGACTAAAGTCCCATCAAGATCAAAAAAAATAGCTCGCAATGCACGAACGCTGAAAGCTTTAAGTGTTTTACACATCTCACAATACCCTATACGTATAAACAAAACTTCACTTACGTAACGCTTATCTCTTAAAATAACGAAACAGTGTGCAACCCAATTTTCCAGGACAGTCGTAATAAATCTTCTGGGTGGAATGCTGGTTTAGTGTTGTGCACAAACCCACGCGCTGCTACAAATTTTTGTCCTCTTTTTGTTTTCTTTGAGGTTGGTTTGGTGCTGCTAAATAGTCCATAAATTTTAATAAATTTCCACAGTACTTTTATTTCTGCGACCCCATAATTATATTACGTTAAAATCTATAGTATATGTTATCATTATATTCTATAACGTATTGTTTTATATTTATTCTCGAAGACTTCCGACCTGTAAATTCAACAGAAGAGGGGTTGAACAGAGTTCAAGGTCGTTTAAAAGGTAGTTTGTAGTGTACCAGTTCTAATATATACAAAAAACTTTATTGATATTATTTGGTTAATTTTTTTTTACTTTATGTACAACTACCCTCTCAATTTCATGGTGCAAATTGATTAAAAAAAAAGTTAACCAGCTAGAGTTAAACTTTTGCGTTTTCATTAGAAAATATTCATTGACCACTTAAATAGTAATGTGTAAAGTGAACTAGATTCCAGACTGCTGATCTGTTAAGAGTAGATTACTCCTGATGACAAGCTTTAATATTTAATGTCTTCTAACAGAATACTTAGTACAGATTAGGTATGTATGGAGTTTATGTAATATTAGCTTAGATTACTCAATCGAAAATGTCAAAGTTGCTCCAAAGAGCTAAAGCTAAAAACTCGGCGGCTAATAAAGAATTGATTACGCATCAAGATATTAAATCTTTTATTCTCTACGGTATTATATTTTTTGCCTTTTATTTTATTAACTCTCTCCTGCTCTGTACTCTACCCAGACTGATAACTGCTTTATAATAACATTTTGGTTTATTTAAAATATTGGTTTACTACGCCTTACCAAATTCGAAAACGTAAAGTTGCCCCTCAACCCCGAAACCGCAAAAAACAATATTTTTCGCCTTTCATAGCTTATAAGTGGGCTCGCCCGCTGACAGACGGCCAGTTGGCTCGGCGAGCCTCCGGTAGAGCACAAACCCGGTGTGGAAAAACGGTAATGAGCGATACTGGCAGGTGTAAAACGAAAAATGTTACTTTATATATTGCGCGCTTGGCCACAAACATTATAAGCAAAAATAGTTTACTTGTCCGCAAAGTAGAGGAGTTTGCTACTAAGCAGATCTAAATACAAAATGTTTGGGCAGGTTCTCATAATCTTAGACTCAAGTCGCTGAAATATCTTCATATATAAGGTTGCTTATGCTGGAAGACGGTTAAATACGTTTAACACTAGGTTGTATATAGAATAATCTATAGAATTGATCTTTGTTTTCGACTTTGCATCAAGTTAATTGTTTGCTCAAAATAAAATTTTTAAACATATGTATGCACATATTTTAATTCTCAAGGGAAGTAATTAGTTTAATTAATTAACGGATCTAGCATAAAATAGAACCGTAGCTCTCTTAAGTATAGAGAACTACAAGTCTCCACCTTGACAATGCAACACCTGTCGGTAAGATAAACAATCTGTGGATGACATGTGTCAAATGAAAGTTAAATGGTCGAAGTCTGTAGCTACTTAAAAGAATTCCATACGAAGACCCCGCGTGCACTGTTTTAAGGGATTTCCACTAGTCGATTTCCTCCTTTCGTGCTAATATATTATGGATGTGGATGTAATTAATTCAGAGAGACTTTCCGTGGCCGTTCAAACACGAAGTTGCGAGAAACCTCAATTTTCTGCTCTTTCCGCTGGTGAAGCGAAGTCGGGGCTCAGTTAATATCATATTTTACTTTATACAAAAGGAGCTTACGTATTTTCTTTTTTTAAGAATTTGAGATCAACCGCATTCCGGTTCCTGCACATCGTTATACCCCTTTAAAAAAAAATTGGTCAAAGTTATACGAACCTCTAGTTACACATTTAAAGCTTCAAGTGCGTATGAATCTTAGGAAGAAGTATTTAAATTGTTGACATTAATTTATAGTTTGCTTGTGAAATATTTTTAGATGCGTTGAAGTGAGAAATTCTGCTTATACGAAGGATATTGGCCATCTTCAGAGAGCAACAGACTTTATTAACGCCTTTATGATGGGTTTCGATGTGAATGATGCAGTTGCTATGCTACGTTTAGATGATCTTTACATCGACACTTTTGACATATGCGATGGTACTGGTTACCAATTTTTTATCTTTTATTTATAGTAACCTTTAAACTTTTTAATAGTCAAAACTTTGAGAGGCGATCATTTATCTCGAACTATAGGACGTATCTCTGGGAAAGACGGAAGAACTAAATATGCTATTGAAAACTCTACCCGTACGAGGATTGTTTTGGCCGATAGCACAATACACATATTGGGCTCTTTTCAAAATATAAGAATTGCAAAAGACGCCATTTGTGATTTAATTCTCGGCAGTCCTCCAGGAAAAGTTTATGGAAATTTAAAAATTGCAGCTAGCAGAATGCATAGTCATTTCTAGTGGTGGGTATATGCAAGTTCTACTTTAAGTTTGTAACTTTTTCTTTAGGGTAGTTTAGTGGGTTTATAATTATTATTAAGTTATAGTTTAAAGAAGTTTTTGTTAAAAAAATTTTTTGAGTTAATTATATTTAACAGTTTATATTAATTTTTTATAAAAATTAGTATGCTTTTAAAAAAATTATTATATAAATAGTAGCTATATTGAATAAAGGATTTAATCCTGTTTTATTTAAACATGATGTTGAAATTAGCGTATTATTATGTTTTTTTTGTCAAAAATATATTAAATAGTTCTAGTAAATAGTTTTCAAAACTTTACTTACCTAAGAAAGCAAAGCCCATCTTTATTTTGTAGGAACCCAGAATTTTTTCGATGATATATTGGCTTAACCTAGCACTAACTTATAAGTACTGAGTTGTGCCGACCTTGCGCAATATTATAGTTTGAATGTTTTGTTCTGTTTTAGAAAAGTATTTAAGTCTATAATTACAATGAAAGCTTTTTTAAAACTCAGTTTTGTTGTTAGAAAGTATATTAAGCCTTACAAGTAAAGTAGTTATCAAAGGCTCGATTCCACTTTGAAGTTTGAAAACTTTAAAAAACCCAAAACACATTATACTGGAGTTTCCCTACACTTTACTACCATTGGAATAAGAATTAAGCGTTAAAAGGATTTATATTTTTTACTGTAGTACGATAACTATAAAAATAAATTAAAATAAACTTCAGACACCTCGCTTTTTGGGTTTCACCGACATAGGCACTATAATTAACGTGTACCCCGAGGGCAAGAATTAACCCTATATCCATTAAACTGTTGTGCCCATGAGGGGATTTCTCTAAAGTTCGCCTTTTGTAAAGGCCTTAATATAATTTAAAGAACCCAAAATCTTGCTTGAAAGTGAAAACTCGAGAATTTCCACAGCTTGCCATTGTAACATAGTTTTTTTACTACTGACTTAAGGAATAGTTACAAAAAATGTAATATTTATTCCTTTTAATATCAAATTTAGTTGTTCTAAAAGGTAATGAAAAATATCTGCTCAAGTTGACTGCCATTTTAAAAATAAGGGTATTGCTTCGGGTCTTAGAAGCAACAGAGCGTTATGCTTAAGTATTAAGTCGTTTCTACGTCATTGCCAATTAATATGTCAAATTTAAGTTTATAAACGGCAAAATAACTGGAAAGAAGATATCACTAATATAAGGATGATCTTTAAAAAACTTAAGGCTTCTATAAGCATGCAGAAACTCATAAAGATACTATACTATCTGTTAAAAACGCCTCTAAATATTCGATTATAGAAATTTTTTAATTCTTATTTACTTCCAAGCTTCTATGCTTGGTTCTTACTGATCAACTGTAGTACCTCTAACGTGATACTCAAAGAGAAAGGGAGTTAAAGGTTTTATTAAATAAGCTTGCACAACATCAAAGGACTGAGACTTCGGGTTGAATGTAGCCTTGAAGTTATACGTTTCAGTTTAATCCAGGAATCATTTCCTGGGTAATAACGCCTCTAATAGTGTAACCCCCCTTATAACTGATTATATGAACCATTTTTTACTGGCACTCAGTTATTCTCTTTACCCATTTTTAATTGGTTGTAAGACCTCCCTTGCATATCGTAAATTAGTTGAAGGGTTAATTTTGTATTTTCTTTCCTTTCGACGTGTCGAACAAGTATTTTAAAATACCTTAATTGTAAAGTCTTGAGGGTATCTGCTTTTAGAAGAAGATAGCTTTATACAGTTTTAGATGAATGAAGACATAAACTACATAAACCATTTTACAAATTGACTTACGTAATATCATGTGATAATATATTATAATATTTATTTATGTTGTTTGAACTGGGAGCCATTATAAAACGATAATTTACTTAACTCTAAACTTTTGAATTTTAGCTTAAAACTCTGACGCTGTTGCTATCCTTTTAAGCGCATTATTGGCTGTAAAACACACCTTTTCGTAAAAAAATCTTTACAGAATTTTGGTACTTTCTTTTTGGGTAAACCCTAATAAATTAAGAAAATTTTTTTATTGCACTAAAAATTTTGGGTTTGGAATCAAAAAATTTACACCGCCAAATTTCCTTGAAGTTAATGGCGGCTAAAAATTTACTTATTAGTTTTGAAGAAATGGTATTTATATGGAAGCTACGTTAAATTTTTGTCTACTACAACGATGGAAGTTGTCTCTTGGTTTAATACAAGTTTGAGTGGCTCCACGAATAACTCTCAACAGCTTAAATTGGACATTAACAATTGCTCTTGTGAACACAGCCTGCAAAACGCTTTAAAAGGCTGCTGTGAAGAGCAAAGTACTACCGAAAGTGAATATGATGGTTACCAATACACTCAAACTTAAAACATACTTTCATTATTTAATTCTAGCCATAGCAAGGAAGATAGGTAGCAAGTGAACACCGATGAGTGTAGTTAACTTATTTTATAAATTTATGAACCCAGAAGTTATCCTTGAGACTTTAATTTATTTTAGTGCCATACTTTCAAATTAACAAATTTATCAATTTTGTACAGTTCACTTATTAGCGACAGTTTTCGAAAGCATTTTAAGAAAAATGCAGGATGTGGTAAGCTTACTAATTTGTACACTTTGAAAGATAACAATTTTTTGTGTGAAACAGAATATTCAAATAACACAGCTGTTATCCGATTTTAAAAGTAAAGGCCTTTCGTCCCACATCCTTTTTCATAAGTATAATGAGACTGTGACTCATTTAGTTTACATGTATACAATTTTTGATTCTCTTTGTTGGCTTTAACTCCCTACTCAATGCAGGAAAAAGAACTGTGCAAGATTACGTTGCGAACTCCGGGGTTTTACTTATTTTTACGAGAACTTTTTATTCTTTTTAATTCACTTCTGTTTAATAAGTTTTTTAAGCTTGGGAAGTAAGAAAGCCCCAATTTTATAGTATACCCTATTGCTGTTGATCTATAATCCACAGTTTTTAAATTAAAAAATATTATTATTACAACTATATATATTGAAGTATTTAATTTCCTTATAGAGAAGGAACATCAAAATAATAAAATAAAGAAAAAATTAGATAGACTCGCTCGTATTTTTATTATTATATTTTTCTATAAAGTTCTCTATATGTTTTTAAATATTCCCAGCGTATGACAGTGCTGTTCCTTATGAGCATCTAGGAAACTTACTCTACTCTCCAATTGAGATTTTGTGGAAGTATTTATGATCGCTGCATTCGATATATTATTCTTAACAAACAATTGCAGACTTCAGAAAGTGTTATAGAATTTTCTTAATAGAACATTACTTCATTGTTCTTTTGATTCTGAATAAAACTTTTTAAGTTTAATAGATTTTAGGAGTTTTTTTTATAGCTTGAATAATAAATTTTAAATTCAGCAGCTTCCATAATAATTTATTTAGCAATTTAATTATTTAAGTAAAGAGTGATATATAAGTTTAGCTATTGACCACAGTTGTTCAGGGTAGCTATAAATTTATTTAAACAGAATTTTTCTTATAGTTTTCACCTTATCATAAAGAAATTCTTTTATAAGGCTTTTAAACATATGGCTATTAATGATTTTCTATATAAACTTTATTAAAAAAAACATAAGATAACCATAATTTTTTAAACTTTTAAGTCGTTTGTTGTTACTACTATAGAAGAATTTTTTAAATTTTATTTTTATTACTTTGTATACTTAAAGAAGCTTAGTAATATGATATAAAATTTTTAACATTTTATTGTTATTGTTTATATCTTTATTTTACTGCGCAAAGTGACTACTTAGTTGTATAAATATTGTAGATATACTTTACTTTATATGTAATACTAGTTCTGTTTTTTATATTATTTGTATTATCTTTATTTTAAAGTTCATTTTTCGTATATTTATTATATTTCTGAATATATATTCAAGTTAGTTGTATAGCTTGTAAAACTTTCTCTATATTAATGTCTAGTGATAAAAAATTATTTAAATACGTATACTCGTTTATATAAACTTTGTACATATAATATACTTTGTATATTCGTAACTAGTTATATAGTTTATATGATTTTTATTTTTAAAGTGAATTTTTCGTAGGTATATTGAAACTTTATATCTTTTAATATATATTTTTTAATAATAAATTAACTCTTGATATAACTTTGTTTACAGTGATTTAACATCTAATAAAAAGAATAATTTCTTTTATATATGATTATATTTTTTTAATCAACCATTTATTTTTAAAGATTTTTTTTTCAATTGTTTAAAAAAATTAAAAAAATTATTTAATTTGTGGAAATAGTTATGTATTCTTAAAGTTATAACTTAATTGCACTTTCATATATAATTTAACATATTGTTTAACTCTATTATTCATAAAATATTATTAATGCATATATTCTATGTATGCTATAATGTATTTATTATATGTTATATAAACTTTGTATTTACATTAATTTTTTTTACTTTTTTATTAAAATTTTTAATACTACTATTATTTACTAAATATTTTTAAACTTGAGAATATATAAATACCACTTTGACTGTGTATTATTATAATTGTATTAATTTTATAATAATTCTTTCAGGCTTTTTCAAGATGAACATTCTGTATTACAAATCTCAAAAGTTATGTTACATATTTTTGCAGATAACATTTTTATAAGCCGTTCTTACTCAAAAATATATAAAAACTGCAATAAAGTATTTCCACTATAATTTTATATAGGTTTAAGTATTAATAATAACTAATAATATAATTATAACCTTATATTTATTATTACTTATCACTCAATTGTAGTATAATATGTAGTATAATAAATAGTAATGCTTAATATTCCTGTATAAATAGCATCCTCTTCTTTTGAACTTCGTTGAAGGTAAAACTATATTATAATTTTTTTATTTATGAATAACACTAAACTTTAATAAAAAACTTTTTTTTTACTGTGAACGCTGTATCCTTCTATAAATTTTTTCCCTCTAACCTTTATTTATTAATAGAAGTTTACTATGTAATCAGAAGAAATATTAAAAATAGGTTTATTATATATATATAATTTACTTTTACTTATTAATATTTATTTATTTTATAACTTTTATTATTACTATGAATCTATACATTTTTTATAATTTTTGTGTAGTGATATACTATCACTTATTGTAGATGTATAATTTAGTTATTACTAATTATTATTAACTTTTATTATTGTTGATTTATATTATGTTTTTAAATTTTTAAAATTCACTTTTTATTTTTAATTAACAAATACTTTTTTATTTTTTTAAATCATAAAACTATATCTCTTTTTAAATAATGAAATATAACTTTAAGTTCCATTATTTCTGAAATCTTTTTTTACGTGTTTAATATTATTTATAAGGTTATAAGGTTATACAAAAACACAGTTATCATAATAAACTTATGAGTACAGAGACGTTTTTCTCTGCCCTTTTGTATATAGAAAACTGCTATCGGATCTGCTCAGTTGAAATATTATTTAATTTCGACCAATAATACTTCCCTGACCCCCTTACTTTTGCAGTAATCCAAGAACTTTTTAGTCGGTGCAGTTTTATTAAAACGGGACCTTTTCCCAATACTATAGATAATTTGGTAGTGTATTAAGGGTTAGGAAACACCTACTTTTTTAATGTACTTATTACTTTTAAAAAGAGGAGCTCAAACGACTCGTTCATAGAGATGTAGATCTCTTGTTTATGAAACGTAGTGCTACTGTGTTAAAAAGTAAACAGACTGAAAGAGTTATTGATTCCCTCAGTTAACCGCCAATAAATATTATGACTTAGTAGACTTTACAGACTTTTACTGAAAGTATAACTCGAGCAATAAGTAGTTATATAAATTCGAGTTCAAGTGAATTTTTCTTTTTCATGCTTTTAAATTTTTAACGCATTATTATAAGTCAGTTGCTCAACAACCGGCTTTTGGAATCGGCGATTGGCGCGTTGGCTAATGTGATGGCCGTCCAGAGTGGTTCTTTTTTATCATGGATATTTCTATAATAGGAATGTTGTGTGCATGTACAGAATATTAATGCGTTATATACTTTGCAGCCCGAAGAGAAGTTCTTCAATCCACTTACAGTAGTAAAATTGTATGCGTCCTAATGACGATGCTGGATTATAGCTCGACTCGGTTGTTTATTTGAAAAAAATATAAATTATAATATTTTTAGTTATTTAATAATTAATAATATAAGGCGTACTTGTCGAAATTTATAGAGTGTTATTTATGCACAAGTCGTCCTTAAGCGAGTTTCTCGCTTCGATTTCTGGCCTTGCACTACTTGCTTTACCTTTTTTTTGTCTTCGTCCATTTTCAAATTTAAAAAATTTATTTTATTAGCGTTGTTTTAATATTAATTTGCTAAAATTAATATTAAAAAAAACTAAACTTTATTTTACTATTCGTTTAACGCACGTGAAGCTGGAGCTGAAGTATATAAATACTGATGTCTATAATTATATACAGAAACTATTTTCTAATTACTTATAATTTCCTATAGCGCAAAAAAACTCTTCTTGCGTACATATAAGTTTAATTTAGATAATATCACCAATATTATTTCGTACCAATTCTGCAAAGTAACACCACATTTCTTAAAAGTTAATTTATTTTATATATAAAAACTTTATGTTCTACTACCAGTATCTTAATAGCTTTATGTAATAACAGCGAAGCCACAAGGAAAGTGATTATTCAATTTCTGTATAACGCGAGGTTGCTTACTTTTTTTATATTAACGCTATTTATGAACGACAAGACTGACATAGTTTGGAGGACGTCGGCGCGGAACTTCTAAATAACAACGAACTTTGCGACATTCTCTATATTCTTCTTCAAGGTTTGCTATATATATGAAGGATAATAATAATAATAACTTATACTCGCTTTTATTTATAACTTTCTAGAAAAAGGAATGAAAGAGGAGCTTATCTCAATGATTTTAAGGTATTATAAAATATTTTAGTTAAACTACTTTCGAATATTAAATATTTTTTTTTCTGTTAGCTTATACTATTCTTTAGTGAGATACAAAACCTTTTCTAACAGCGACGAGGTATTTCGTTAATACACTTCTAAAACGGTAAAAATTTTTAATTTTTAAAATCGTTAAGAAAGTAATATATTAAGTACTTTGAGATTTTATAAATTTTTTTAAAATTAATAAATACTTGCTGAGAGTTAAAGCTTCCAGTATGTTACTAGTTTTCTAAGTAAACAATTTACAAGTAATTAGTAGCTTTTACTGTTAACAATAATATATAACTGCCAACCATAGGAAGCAGTGAGGTTTTTTACTGAACTCTGCGCTGTCTACTCAGGAAAGGTTACTCTATTAACAGATAATTATAAAAATATTATTGAAGCCGACTGTGAAGGTCAAAGAAAAAGTAAAGTCAATACTTTCCTGCTATCAACTTTATATAAAGTAAATGGGTTAAAAAGAAAATTCAAGCCTTTTAAACTTTTTTCTTCTTTATTTATAGGAAAAGAGAGCAGAGCAATTAGTCTTTGCCGGTAGTCACAGAAAAGTAACAAAAAAACAATTATGTGTAAATATTATTATTTTTTAATAAGTCGTAGTTAATAAAAATTACAAGAGGTCACAGCAGCCTTTACTACGACTAAAACTGGTGTTAGTAAAGATTTCACAATAGTACAAATTCTTTAAAGTGTTATTTCTGTCTCGGCTCCTGTAATAATAAACATCAAAACCAGCAACTAATAGTACCGAACAGATCATACCCGAACGTGAGTATGTTTAATATGAAAAGTACTAGCGGCTTTTCGTTATCTTATTGAGAAATGCTTTACACTTTATGACTCTAAATGCTTTTAAATTTAAGATACTTGACCCAGATTGCTGTGCTCTAGGCATAGAAAAGGTAAGTGCTGTGTAGTTGAGTTCCCCAATCAAAGCGCCTCTCTCCAAAATGTAGAACTACTATAATTAGACTGGACTTATACTTAATATTTTTAAATATGAAGACCACTGCGGGGCGGACTAATTTACCTAACAGTAAATAGTATCCAGCTTTCTTCAAATTTTTAAAAGCTACCCCATAACTATACACTATATACTACAACATACAAAGGTAAGGCTTTATAGTGCATAGTCCACCTTTATTCCTAAAAGTAATTCTGTTATAAATTAATATAAGGCTTGAATACATGTTCACTTTTCTTAATAATAGCTTTAAACAAAAAATTAATGATCAAACTTGAAGGAGTTTTATTAGTAATTAAATATTTACTCACAAAGCTATACAGTGGACAATTGGCCCACCGCCTACCAAATTAGTTACTAGACCCACTAGATTTTTTAGACAAACAGTGGGCCCTCCCCCTAGAAAGATTTTAATAGCCCAATTGCAAATAAAGTTAAATAAAATGTTCCAAGCACTTAAATATAAACCATACGACCAATTTCTTTTTAAGTTTCTAACTTAAAAAAAAAAACTCTATTAGGTTAGTATAAAAACCCTTTTAAGTAAAACAAAACTAAATAATATCGGTGGCAAACGCTTAGACAATAACAAAATTTTATTAGTAAATTTAGTTCATTATTTTACCAAGCTATGACCTTAAGTTAAGAGCTTTTCACTTAAAGCTATAAACATATAAAATCTACGACTAGCTTAAGAACAAGAATTTAGAGCCCCCAAATGATGCATACTACATTAATTAACTTTTTACTTAAAGAACCCTATTAAGAAAAAAATAAAGAAGTTACTAAAAATTTCAATTTAAGTCCTATAGTGTATGATAAGAGATACCCCATAAAAAGAAAAAAATGGAGGGCACCATACTTTTAGGATATTACTTAACTATAAGCAATAAACTTATTCATTCAGTAGAGCTTTAAACAACTTGACACCCTAATAATTTTACAAGTATGCCTTGTGATACCACATAACTTAAGTCTCTATTAAAAATTAAATTCTTGTATAGTATTTTAAAATTTAAAAACGATGCAAAATATATTATACGGTAATATAGATTTTTTTTTATGAACTTCATAAAAATAAAAATTCATATAAAATTGTAAAATAATAACCGGATAAATACGTTTAATTTTAATAAAGGAGAAAGCTATATAAATCGTCAGAATTAATGTAATCTGCCAGTCAAAAAAGTGTTTTCTTCTTTTACTCTGGGAGTAGCAAGCGTAACTTCAACTCCTCTCTCAAAGTTGTCTTAGCTCTAAAGTACATCTCGTATCAAGCGAAGCGCGAAACACTGGCGCCACAGGAACCTTTTACTTTATTGCATTAAAGGGGGGTAAAATACCACAAGATTAAACTCAAATGCTTTTGCGATGAGTATATAACGAAACGAAGTAACACATTAAAATTCAAAAAAAAAAAATTTGACTGTGTTTAATTTAAAGGACTAGCTTAAAAAAAAGTGAAACTCTTGTCTCTTTATTAAGTATAGTATCGAGCACCTGAGATAAACTAATAAAAAAGCCGATAATCTATATTTAAAGACTGTTTCTATGAACAATAGTTTTCACTTCCACATCGATTTTAGAGGGCGGCTCCAGTAAAGGCCCTCTGTTATGTTGTAATAAGAGTTTTAAACTTTGCAGAAAAGTATAGCAGTGTTAATAGTGTGGACCTATGAGGTCGTCCCCCACATGGTGCCCCCCAAAAGACACCCCCAGCGGAGCCAATAGCGTGTAACTGTATGTAATAGTCGCAGAGTTCCTGTTAAGAACAGTTAATAAGAGTCACATTTTCTAAAGAAATGAGCACCTCTAAACGTTTTAATTGTCTGGACAAAAGATAGTCACGAGTGGCCGAGTCTCCCAGCAACTCCTCATAGTGGACGTTCACTTCTTGTTCCACGGCCTGCCAAAAATAGAGCTCTTAGTTGTCATAACAATAAAAAAATAAATATAAAAGACATGAGCGTAAGAGTCGTTTTCCAAGAATGGATGGAAGTAAACGCTGAACTCCGGGGCAGCCGTCGGATAGTTTGGCGGAATTCTTACTGTTCCGCGGAGGGAAAGCGTGTCTGTTATGCACAAGGAATAGGGACCAGTGAGTGAATTTAATAAACACTACCTAACCTTTTGTTTTTGAAATTATAAAACTGTACGTTTTAATGCCTTCAGCTTCATCCTAAATAACAACCAATATAGCAATTTTTAGATCAAATTGGTATCAAGTTGACCATAAACGACCATGAAGAAAGAGAGGCGCCAGCGGTAGACAAGGAGCGTTTGCTAACTGAATCAGAGCTGGCAAAGACCTGCTCAATACGACCCTTTTCTATATAAAAAAAAGCGTGATACGTTAAGGGACAGTAAAAATAAAGCATAAAAACGTACTTAGCGAATTCAGTTCATTGCTAAGGCACCATGTGGCATTTAAACGGCGCTTTATTAAGAGAATGAGCTGCGAAAAGTATTGACGCTGCCATCTTTCCTCTGCCTGAGTCACGTGATAATACTGTTGGTGGTCCTGATTAGTGCGAACCATATATTTATACCGAGTTTTGTAAGAGGCCGCAGGCCGTCTGGGCCCACATAAATGGATAACCCAGGGAGACAACGACTTCAGAGACACTAGTAATGCTACGGGAAAAAAAAATACGCCATGCTTTACTTACTGACGCTCGTAACATAGAAAGATAAATTATTTAGAGTTGCGTTACTATCAACTGAACTAGAATATAATGACGTTATTTTTATATGTATCATCTAAATTTACTAAATAAATAATATGAAAAACAAATATAAATTTAGTAAAAGACAATAAAAACGATTATATTTATTTATTTATATAATTATGATAAACTAAGTAAAAAGATAAGTACTTATATATTATTAGCATATTAACGCAGTTTTCAAAAGTATAATAAATAATGATGATATATATCAACCGGTTCAACAACTTATTATAGACAATGAAAAAACCAAGAAATTTATAATAACGGATTTAAATTAATAAATTTATATCAAATAAATTAAATTTACTCGGAAAAAAGTAAAAAAATTTACTGTAATTTAAACGAATCAAAAATAATAAAAATATTAATGTCCAACCAAAAAAAAATTGTCATGTGTATAAATAAACCAACCACAGTAATTGGGCCGTTTAAACCCAACAGGTTTCCTTTTTTGTTAGCGATTAATAAAAATATTTAGAACCATTTATAATACAACTTAATGAAAAATTTATATTTTACATATTTATTTCTAATAAATTTATCGTACGTATACCAGATATATTTAGCGAGAACGAAACAACATAGTTCATCATAAAGTAAAAAAAAGATAAAGAAACCCTGCAGAGTCGAGTAAATACTGCATTTTATCGCTCGGCAAGTGAACTCCGGAATCAGAAGGGTAGAGGTAGCAAAGAACCCTCGCCGTTTCGGAAGACAACTTCTGCTGCTCACTTAACGCTTGCACACAAATAAGTTTTAAATGCACAGCGTACTTCAAGGAAACTACAAAAGTAGTATCTGGAAAAAGAAGTTTTTACCAATTCGAATATATGAAGGAAAAATTATATGGAAGTTACTAACTTTGAAGCGTAAAGTGAAGTCGGAGACTTAAAGGATGCCCTTCCAGAAACCACCCCTTCCTAGCCACTTTACTGAGCCCCCCGCGCTTGAAATCGGTGCTATCCTCTTCACAAAATGGTGGTGGCTTATAAAGAAGCTTAAGTTAATTTTCTAAAAATTTAAATAATACTTATTTTTAAAATTTTTCTTTTAAATTTATATTTTTTTAAGCAAAATGGAAGACCCCCAAAAGTAAGTCAAGTAACTTTATTAAAAAAATTGCGAAAACTAGAGAAACATAGAGTCGCCTTTTTATTGGTCAAGTTAATGAGTTCCTTTGTCTTGGTCAATAAAAGAAAGAAAGCAGTAATTGCCCATACCATTGGACGATTGGGGAAGTTAATACACCAATGAAATAAAAACCAAAAGAAAACGGCGTTGCTAAATCGAATAATTAAAATCAACTAAAATTAGATTTACTTATAAGATTAAAATAAAACTAAATAGAACTTTCTATTAAAATTATTTTTTTACTTTATCGCGGGCTTCATTCTCATTAAACACTTTCGCCGACTCCTTATCTCCAACTATTTCGCAGTATACGCTTTTGTCTTGATGTTATAAATTAAATTTAAAAAAAATAAAAAAGAATAAAGACAAACACAATATATACTGTTTTTAAATGAGGCAGAATTTTTAAATCTAGTGTAACTAGATTTAAAAAAACATGCAAAGCGTAAGTATTTTTATTTCTTTTCTTGTGAAACGTATTTAATTTTTTTAAAAATAATTAGATTATGAAACTTAACAAAAAAATTATATAAATTTTTTAATATAAAAATACCGAAAGAGAGCCTAAAAGATTCGACTAAGCAATAAAATGCGTAAAGCGGATCGGGAAGATGAAGAGCTTCTTCGCCAAAAGATTCGTAGACTGCATCGCTTGGATCAAGCGAGTGCAACAAACTTTTAATTTCGATGCAGTGCTAAATTATATTAAACTTTTTATAATAATAAAAAAATTGACGTAAAATTAATAAATGAAAATAAAAAAATAAGTCAAATATGAAAAAGCGACAAATCTATTATAATACACTGAAATTCTTCAATATAAAAAAAGCAAAAGATTAAAACTTTTTTAAACTAATATTGAAAAAGCAAGCAATTATTATGTAAAACGTAAAAAGAATTTTTTATAAAAAAATTAATTTTATTAGCGAATTAAAAATATATAATATTAATATTAAACATCTAAATTACTTAAATCAACTGAATCAACCATAAAAAATAAGTATCAAGTATTACACCTTTACTAAACCTGAAAGTTTTTCTTCGAGAAGATAATAATTTTTGAGTTTTTCTTCAGTCTGTTCTTTTAAAACAACTCTCTCGGCCTTCTTCTGCTGAAGTGCTTCCATTAAGCTAAAGATTAAAATAATGTTCTTTATTCTATACGATTTTTTTTAAAGAAAGGAAACCTTACGCGCTGTTGCCTTTCGAAAATTAAGCGGTTGGTCATCAATTGATGTGCGCTGGAGTATAGTTTTAAGTTTGAAGGCGCGGAAGATTTAAACTCTTCAACAGAGCATATATTAATGTCGTGAGGCCTTTCACTGCATTAAAATAAGCCAACAATCTAAATAAAAAAAGGTACAGATTTAATTACATAAAGTGATTGCACGCCTCAATTTCTCGAAGTAAATAAGCCTTTTCATAAAGTAAATTTTGCAAAGTTAAAAAACGATGGTCAACCTTTACCCTAAAATCTTCCATTGCTTTCTTAATTATATAAATTATATGTTATAGAAACTTGACAAAGTTAGCGACAAAAATGGAAGAAAAAGATTTATAAAGTATTAACTTTGCTACTTTTATAACGTTCGTAAGCAATCCTATGAAGCTCTTTTAAATCAAGGAACAAAAGTGATGCTTCAGGTGCAACATTTTTGGAATGTTCTAACTAAATTATAAAAAGGTTATTCTCCAGGTTTAATTAATAGGTCTAAAAATAAGAAGCGAAGAAGTTCAGTTATTATATAAACATTTATTAAGTAACTTACCTCATTTTTAGAATTATATATTTTATGTAAAAAAGCGCAAATTTGATCTGATATAGTTGAGCATATCTGGTGTAATTCGAGG